TACAAAAAAATGTCTTATTCATATTAAAAAGTTGAAGAAAAAAATAATAAGTGTAAATCGTAAAAATAGTGACATAAAAAAAATAATTTATAAACTATAGTTATGAATATAACAGTTTTAATAATAATAATAATAATAATAATCACATTGAAATATATCATTTTTAGAGTAATTGGTTGAGGAGTTGAAAGAATTTGAAGAAAATGAGAAAGGTGAGAAGAAATTGGAAGAAACTGGAAAAACTGGAAGAAACTGGAAGGAAATGGAAGAAACTGGAAAAAACTAGAAAGAACCGAAAGAAACTAAAAGTTAAGAGTTTAAGCCCTAAAGAACAAGCTCTTTTAATTAAAAATGAGTTGAGTCAACCATTGGAACAAATTTAGGATAGAAAAAAAGAGAGTAATGCTAGGGGTACACCAAAAGGTGTACCCCAAATGTACACCACCCCATTCTCCACCACATATTTTTATTTGATTTTTATTTACTTATTTTTTTTTAAAGTTTTTTGCCTTTTTTAGTGGACAAGGAGGGGGTGGGGGACATATGGGGTACACCTTTGGTGTACCCGTAGCATTTTTCAAAAAAGGATGAGTTGGAGCACCAGACCCAGTCCTACAATCATTGCAACGAGTTAAATGATGGAGTAATGCTACTAGACTCACAAACTAAATGTTCACAAAATACACAAACTTACCCAATATGTAAAGTAATGGTTTGAACTAATGGCCTCAAACAATTAAAAAATAAAAACAAAAATACACAAATAGTAAGTTTGTGTATTTTGTGAGTGCTTTGTTTGTGACTCTAGCATTATTCCTAGCATTATTCTAAATGATGGATGGTTGTATGGATGCGCGCATGGGTAGCTCAGTTGGTCAAGAGCGTGAAATCTTGGACCGATGACCAGGGATCGAGTCCCGCAAGCGGCAGTGTGGGAGCTATCCAAAAATCCCATAAAGGGTGAGGAGGCTCCTTGTGCGCGGTGGGCACGGGTCTAGCGTTCTTGGCCGACTGAGTCACCATGATTTACATCCTCCACCATTCCTGTCGGGCAAGGGGGTGGGGGCGCATGGGNAGCTCAGTTGGTCAAGAGCGTGAAATCTTGGACCGATGACCAGGGATCGAGTCCCGCAAGCGGCAGTGTGGGAGCTATCCAAAAATCCCATAAAGGGTGAGGAGGCTCCTTGTGCGCGGTGGGCACGGGTCTAGCGTTCTTGGCCGACTGAGTCACCATGATTTACATCCTCCACCATTCCTGTCGGGCAAGGGGGTGGGGGCGCATGGGGTGGGCGATTCCACCTTTTGGACCGATGGATGGTTGTATGGATGGAGGTACCCCTCATTTAATTAGAGGATGGGGATTTGAGGGAGAAAGGAAAGCGCGTGTGACTGTTGTGAGGGCGAGAGGGATATGGCGAGGAAAGCAGTTTTGATCGGAATCAACTATCCCGGCACCAAAGCCGAGCTCAAAGGCTGCGTCAATGACGTCCACAAAATGCATCGCTGCCTCATCGATCGTTACGGCTTCTCCGAGGAGGACATCGTCGTCCTCATCGACACCGACGATTCGTATCCGCAGCCCACCGGCCGGAATATTCGCAGAGCTCTCTCAGGGCTGGTCCGAGCCGCCCGTCCCGGCGATTACCTTTTCGTCCACTACAGCGGCCATGGCACTCGCCTCCCCGCCGAGACTGGCGAGGAAGACGACACTGGCTACGATGAGTGTATCGTCCCTAGTGATTTCAACCTCATCACCGGTAAGATTGCTTTTTCTAAGAATGCTAATTCCAGATTTTGTCCAATCGCTATCCTGTTTCATTTTTCTTTCCCTGAATCATGAGGCATCAGGCGATCCTAAACAAACACACTGCAGATCTGTTCGATTTTTGGATCTAAAAGCGTTCAGCGAAGTAAAAATAAAAGGCTTGAACATACTTTGGTGTATTTAATGGAACTTTTGGTGCATCTGTAGATATGTGTATAGTTTATTTCCTTTAATTTAATTTAAATATTACAAAAAACTGACTTGAAAATATATATTCTTCGAAATGGGACTTTTGAAAATAGTTCAAGTCTTTGCCGCCATACATGAAATGGGTCGAGAGTTTATTTGGAAATCTTGTGGACAATTTGGACAGTGATTATATTTACTAGTTAGAAATGAAAACTTTGAAATCTGCAGCAATTTTAATCACTAAATCTTGGGATTGATTGTACATTCGTGCAGTTTTGAATGACATCACTGGATGATCAGATAATAAAATAAAGTGTACCGACTCTGGATAAACTGGTAAAATACTAGTATAGAAAATTTTAACTAGGTGGCAATACTATGTAAATTGATGGTATTTGACTTTAACCTGTTTATAACCCCCTTATGAACATAACAGGAGTCTTACGCATAATTAATGAAGAAGATTGTTTGGATGTTCACGATATTCTCGACAAAGGCAAAGGATATGATCTTGATGATGGAGTAAAAATATTACTCCGTAGTTGGATTTATTAGGGGGGTTTATCCAAATTTGAAATTACGAGTTATGGTCTGTTCTTTTCAAATGAAGTGTTGAACTTACTATCCTCATGACTTCTTTCAAAGTTTGAGCCATGAAAAGGAGTATTGGCGTTATGATTATTTTTTCTTGCATTTGAACCCCTTTCTCTATTCAGATGACGATTTCAGAGAACTGGTGGACAGCTTGCCAGAAGGCAGCCGAATAACAGTGGTATCTGACTCATGCCACAGTGGTGGGCTTATTGATAGAGCTAAGGAGCAGATTGGAGAGAGCACGCGCAATAATGCAGCTGACGAGGACGAGGTGGGGGACGATGGTGGTGGTGGATCGTCTGGATTCGGATTCAAGAAGTTCTTGCGCAAGACTGTTGAAGACGCCTTTGAGTCCCGTGGCATTCAGGTCCCATCAGAATGGCACCACCATCATCAACCCCACGTAGAGATTGAGAGAACAATACTGGTTGATTCGGAAGATGGGGATCAACACCATGTCAAGAGCAGGTCCTTGCCTCTCTCCACCCTTATTGACATTCTCAAGCAAAAGACAGGCAAGGATGACATTGATGTCGGCAAGCTCAGGCCAACTCTTTTTGACGTGTTTGGAGAAGATGCGAGCCCCAAGGTGAAGAAATTCATGAATGTCATTCTTAATAAACTGCAGCATCAAGGCAGTACTACTGGGGAGGAGGGTGGTGGGTTTTTGGGCATGGTTGGCGGATTAGCTGTGGATTTCCTAAAGTGTAAGCTCAACCAAAACGACGAAACTTATGTGAAACCAGCTCTGGAAACACCAGTGGGCAGCAAGCAGGAGGTCTATGCTGGCACAAGCCAAAGGGCTCTCCCAGACAGTGGCATTCTCATCAGTGGCTGCCAAACAGACCAGACATCAGCAGATGCTACTCCTTCGAGCAATCCCCACGAATCGTACGGTGCACTCAGCAATGCGATTCAGACCATACTCAATGAATCAGACCGACCCGTCTCGAACCAAGAGCTCGTTCTAAAGGCGAGGGACATATTGAAAAAGAAAGGGTTCACTCAACGTCCCGGCCTCTACTGTTCCGACCATCATGTCGATGCTCCTTTCGTGTGCTGATAGTGTTTTATTCAATCACCATTTCCGTGAGCATACTCTATACATATACACGATTATGATGCGTTTACATTCAAATTAACTAAGCAGTTGGATACCATGTTTTCTTCTTCCAGTGTGTTGGTTAATAAAGCTTATGTGTACTCAAATATGAGTATGTATTGGCGCATGGTGATTCTTTGTTTATACTTGATTGAAAGAAAAAGGAATTGGAAGTATGTTTATTGTGCTGTTAATTCTATCCTATATGCTTTTGTGTGACTACTTCAACATAGCATTTTGGCAACACTTGTATATTTCTATTTTAGCAATAATCAAAACTTGAGATATAATGAAAATTCAAAGGTTGAGATTGCAAACATATTAGTCATCTTTTGTTCTTACCCTCATTTCCAAAGATGCAAAGAAGTTTATGGTCTATACACTTTTATGACTTCAACACTCATTAAAAGCCCTCTTAACCTAAAAAATGGGGAGTTTTATTGCACTTGGTACCAATTCTTTTTTTTCTTCTTCAAATTCTTTAGACTATAACATCCTATACGTACCAATTGGAAATATGGTCTAAAAAATATTACTCCCCAGTTCACTTTAGTTGATTGAAATTATTTTCAATTTAACTTATTTGATTATAGATGTAAAATTTGAAAATAAAAATTATATATTTTAAAACTATATCAAAAGTTTTAAAAAACAAGAGGTGACATAATTATATTATTATATCCAATAACTAACAGAAATAAGTAAAGAATGTGATTAAATTTTGACCATGTAAATAGTGACTGGGAAAATCATTTTAGGACGAAAAGAGTACAATGGATAGATTAATAGACACGATTTAAAAAATAAGGAGTTTTATTGCATTTGGTACCAATTCGAAATATGGTCTAAAGAATATTACAATGGATGGACTAATAGACATGGTAATATGTTCAATCTTATAATCTCAATCTTTTATCTTTTAAATGTAAGGTTGGAATTTGAAGGCTAGATGTGAAGAAGTTTAAGGTGACTTTCTTGCTATTACGCCAGCATGCTTCCACTGGAGCAAGCTTTAATTACCCTATATAGTCTAAATACACAAATTATGATATGGTGAGATTAAACAATTTGCTCTGATTTCCTTTACAAGGCCTCTTTGATGAGCACAAGATATAGAACATTGTTGTGGATATTTTGGTTGACCCTAAATATGACTATGATTTAATAACTCTTGACATCACTACCCTCTCAAATAGAAGTGTGTAGTTATCTCCTAAATTTGATAGAATCAATATGGTGTGATATCACACCTCACACCACTATTGTCAGCCACACCACCACCATCGACGGTCACACACCACCACAATCGTTACCAGTCACCACCATTGTCATCGTCGATGGGCACCTGTCACTGCCACTAGTAACAGTTGACCACCATCATTGCCATCAACAACTATCGGTGTCGCCAAACTGTCGTTGTCGTTGGCAACCGCCACTACCTTGTCGACGGCCACCTGTTGTCACCAACAAACATCACCTCCACTATGGGCAAGCAACCGCCGCCACTGACCACCACCACTAGCGTTGTTGACGGCCACCCATCCCCACCTACAATCACCACCACCCGCCACTCATAGTTCAATTACCACCTCGGCCAAAAACCACAATCAAGAAGCAACTTTAAATATAACTTTTTCATGTACTTGACCCATTTTCACCAACACAATCTATTTACATAAAAATACCCGTTGAGCACTACATTTAATCTAATATTTGCTCACCAAAGAGCAGTGATTGAACTTGCATAGCATTTTAAATTTCTCCGCATTTTTAGTTTAGATTTCAAAACTCATATTATTTCTTACAGATTTCAAAACCCTATGTCATACCAATTCTATATACACATAAACATGCATAGACTTCTTATACGTATGAGTAAAGTAATAAATAATTTAAAGAAATTATCATTATAGCGATGTATAATTGTTCATGTAACTATACTTTGTACTTAAAGTTCCTACCTGTTGAAAGGTGTTTATTTTAGTCCTTGTAAGTGCATCCGTGAAACGATCACGTCCTACATATTTTGTTGTATCAAAATAGTCACAATAACTAGCACGTGTGAATTATCTGATTTGTATCAACACTGGTACTCAAAAGTTAATTAAGCAGGTTTCCAATTTTGATGATAAAACATCAAGCTATAACATCTTATGGTCCTTCTAAGTACATATAAAAGTCATTTTTGTCCTTAAAAGATTGAGTCAAAGTAGTCATACATTCTCCTTTCAAATTGAGAGCATTAAATCTGAATGAAATGTGTACACTTTAGTCCATTAAATAGATTCATTAATGACTAAAATTTAAAACCATATTAGCTAAATAATCCCTTCATCCATACAATTTTGACTATTAATATACTCAATTATCTCTATTAAAAAAATAGTTAAAAACGGATATTTTAAAAATAGATTGTGTTGCCTTAATAAATGGAGTTGGATAGAAAAAAGTGGTTGGAAATTTAGGGGTAACTAAAGATGGAAAAGAGACTTTAGTTTTGGGACACCAATTATGGAAAGTAAGACTCTAGTTTCAGGATGAATGGAATATCTTAAATCTCCTAACCAACTGATTTGCTCTGTTTTTCAGCTAAAGAAAAACTGTTATATGCATATAGGTCCTCAGGAAAATGCGAAAAAGGTGTCCCAATTTTACTAATAAGATGGAAGATCACCTGGTAGAAGGGGCATGAACAAAATCCCCTTGGAAGTTTGTTGTTGTGGGTACAAAGCCACACAACACAAGAATCTGTTTGTGTAAAGCAAAGGAAGAATCTCAAAAAAAAAGATACATCAGTGAGAAAGGAGAAAAAATGCATCTACAAATATAAGGTAGAGAACCTGCAGGGTGTAGGAGCACAATGCCAGCCAAATGTCTTGGAATGCCTGTCATCAATATTGATCAAAGGTCATTGTGGTCATTTTCATGCTTCCAATTAAGCTTGGCCAATGAGCACAAGCTACTATATGAAAGTACACAATGAAGTAATGTGTACTTGATAGATTTGAGTACCCCAAAATAGTTTGGAAATGAAAATGCGACTGGGCATCACGACTCCAGTTATGTCCACTTATCGTCATCATCATCTTTATCTTCTCCTGCTGCGGCATTTAGGGCATTCCATCTCTCAATCAACTTAGCTGTCCTTTCTTTAGCTTCTTAAGGCTGGACCTGCAAGTAGACATTGGAAGAGCGTGTTACGCAACTTATAGTTAAGCATAAAGTTAGATGAAAACTCCAAAATGGAATTATATATACCCTCACGAGCTACTTAGGCAGAACTCAGAAGCTTTTCAGTTTTTTTTCTGGCTGGCATCAGCCTGTGGAAATGAAAAATTAGGGCTACAAATGAGTCTCTTGTTCCATCAAATCAAAACAAGTTTTCAAGAAAAGGTCACTAGTAGGGAATGTTATTTGTACTTTTAAAATAAAAATAAGGATATTTGAATGATTTGTTTTCTAATTTTCAAGGACATCAAATGGGAAGAATGACGGAGGGCAAGAAGAAACAACGGATCAAGAAAAGTACTTGCCAGATTAAAAGAAAATGCACACACACAAAAATCAGGAACTTCAAGGCAAATATTACCTACTTGGTTTGGTGGCTATGAGTATATCATTTATGAGGGTGATGGATCAGCTTTTTATACAACACATGCTCTAATAAAACACATACTTACATTTCTACCTTCCGGCAATAAAGGAGTATATTTCAACTCGATTTAGCTTTGAAGCTAAAAGCTGCATAACTCGCACATTTTGGTTGATTTTTCTCAGAGCAAGTTTGTGCTCTTCTCTGTTTGGTCAAGCTTCTCCAACAACACGATTTATGGCTGAAAAACAATTTCCCGTTAGATTGGTGTCTTAGAACAATCTGTTAATTAAGAAGTAATCTGTGAAGCATAGGTTAGGTGGCAGCATGGACCAATTACATTGACTGTTAGTCAGATGTTTTTATCTGCTTATGGTGTAAACTAAATGAAATGAGAAGGGCTTTGAGCTAGTAAACTTTTCTAAGTTGCATGAAACTGAACAAAGTATATTGTGAAGTTCTGTTGATTTGCTACTGAAACGTTTAAATTCAAATGAGATACTTTCACAAAGAGTGATAAGAAACTAACAGTTTTGTCACACAAATAAGAAATAGATTTCTTGGAGAATGTGGTATAGTACAATAGTTAATGATTTATTTTTATTTATTCATTTAATATTATTGTTTTTATTAGTATTCTGATTTGACTTCATGAAGTTTAAGGAAAGTGTTAAAACAAACACTGTATGATTATAATTTGTTTAGAAGAGAGAAAAATGTTGTGAGTCACATTTATTTTAATAAAAGGAAATGGGAGAAGCGTGAACTTTATTTTGGGTCAACCAAATAAGAAAAGTTTGAGGTTCTTTAAGGGACGGAGGGAGTATTACTATTGTTATTGTTATTATTATTATTATTATTATTATTAATTACTACTGGCTCTCTAGTCTATTGTAATTGTCAATGTAATTCCTAGGCTTGTCATAAGAGTCGTTTTCTAAAAAGAAGAGAACCATATTCTAGATAACATGAAAGTAACACCAAGTAGGGAGGGTTCACACCTGCAAAATCTGATAGCATGAGTGTGTGCATGATCTTTATAACTCAGTTACAACTTAACCAATAAAACAGAGCTGGAAGAATCCATCTCCATCTTAAGAATTTGGTCAATTCCCTGAGTTTCTAGAATTGAACAAAGCATTGTGTAATCAAGGAGAAAGGGCCAAAAGAACCATGCCTCTCCATCAGTTTGTAGCACTTCATCTCCGTTAGAGAGTGAACCATGATACCTACCAATGAGAATTTCATTCTTATTATATACACGCAGCATATTACACATGCAATAAATATTCAAATGAAGGTGTGTTACTATATACTGCATTATTTGAAGTAACCCTTGACCTAATTACCTTGAATATATTGTTCTCTGTGTCACAAGGTTAAGTAAAGTCTACACTTGCCTTCAGCATTTCATCTGAAAGTTTTGTTGCTTCATCGACATTACCTTGTTTGCGTAGAGCATTGATCAAAGAAGAATATGTAATTCTTGAAGGAGCAATCCCTTCTTTTATCATTCTTCCTTTCAGTCCAAAGGCTTCAATAGTATTACCATTATTGCAGTGCTCCTCAATCAAAGTATTATAGGTGATAACATTGGGAGTTAAGCCCTTTGAGCGAAGCTTTTTGAAAAGTTTAAGTGCTCTATTAACATGTCCTTTTTTGCAAAGGCCATTGATGAGAGCATTATATATAACAATGTTAGGAACAAGATCCTTTTTAAGCATTTCATCCCGTAATGCAAAAGCCTCATCAACATTGCCAGCTAATGAAACGCCGTGGATCAAGGCACAATAAGTAAATTCATCGGGTACAAAGCCTTTTTCAATTAAAGCACAAATCATTTTTCTTGCATCACTTATCCGACTGAGTCTACAAAGCCCTAAGACTGCAATATTATATAGAATGTTATTGGGCATGATAGAATCTTTTGCCCCCTCATCCAGGAAATTTGATATTTTTTGAACATCTATTGATCTCGAGTGGGGGCTTGAAAAGTCATTAAGACAGTTAAGTTTTAAACTGGTATCAAACCTCAATACTTTTTGCAACAACATGAACACATCATTAGTCCTGCCATGCCTATATAAGCCACTAACAATTGAACTGAGTATGATCTCATTCAGATTCAGCCCCTTATTTATCATATCAAAATATGCATTAAAAGCTCTCTCAAGCTTTCCCTCCTTAACCCATCCAGCAATAAGGGCACCATATGTAACAACATTGGGCAGTATTCCCCTTGTATGCATTTCATTAAGAAGATCTTCAACTTTGCTGAACTTCCTAGCCAAAAAACATCCAGTAACGAGTGAATTGAACATTTCAATAGAAGGAAGGATTCCTTGCTGTTCCATAATGTTCCTTGTCCTCAAAGCTCTTTCAACCTGCCCATTTTTACAGTAACCATTAATTAAAGTTCTATAAGAAACTCCATCAGGTGAACAGCCATACTCCTTCATTTTGTCAACAAGCTGCTCGGCTTCAATCATTTTGCCCATCTTACATAGTCCGTCAACCACTGTGTTGAAAAGAATTACGCTTTTGGTAAATCCTCTAGCCAATATATGTTTCCACAACATTGCAGCTGTTTCAAACCCGTTTGCCTGAAAAAGACCAACAAATAGAGTACCATAGCTAACCTCATCAATTGCAAAACCTCGTTTAAGCATCAAATGCCAGAGGTCCAAAGCTTTGCCAATAGCACCAGTTTGACAAAGACCTTTCAAGAGAGTATTGTAGGTTACAAGTGTTGGATCAATACCCACTTGAATCATTTCATCACATAGGTTCAATGCTTCACTTGTCAAACCTCCCCTGCAATACCCATCTAATAGGGTATTATAGCTGTAAGAATCTGGTCTCAGATTCCAGCCAACCATACTCCTTATCATTCCTCTTGCTTTGTGAACCTGACCAAACTTGCAATAACCATTTATAAATGAATTGCAAATAAATAGGTTTATTTTCAAGCCTAACTTAAACATCTCGTCTCGAATCCTATGTGCTTCATCTAGTTTCCCAATTTGACAAAACCCATCTATCAATACACCATACACCTGCTCATCCACGACTCCCGCCTCCATATCTCGGAATTCTTTCTCTGCTTCCTCCATATTCCCCTGCCTGCAATGCCCCTTGATGAGCAATGTGTGTGACACAACATTCTTGGATATTCCTCTTTCAACCATTAATTTTAACACTCTTTCAGCTCCCTTCATATCACCCTTCTCGACATACCCGTTTATCAAACTATGGTAAGTTGCTCTATTCGCAACTAAACCCATTGCTTCCATTTTATCTATAAAATCCTCAGCTCTGTCTACTCTGCCATCCTTAGAGTATGCATTTACTATTATTGTGCAAGTGTATATATCTGGAGAAATTCCAATTCTGATCATCTGTTCATAGATGCAAAATGCAGTATGATATTCTTCCTTTTTCACCAAACAGCTCAACAAACTATTGCACGAGAGTAAGCTCGGCATACAGCCACACGCGGGCATATTATCAAACACATATAATGCATTCCTAATTAACCCTCTCTTTGCATAAATTTTCAGAAGCATATCAAAAACCGTGGGAGAAAACCTGAATTCTTTATAAACTTTTTGCAACCCATTCCATACAAGAGACATCCGTTCCTTTTCACCCGAGAGTTCCACAAGCTCAGCTAAGAGAGACCGGGTTTCGTCGAACATTCTACCTTTACACAATATGTGAATGATTATGCAATAGGAAGTGAAATGCGGCCTGTAATAGCTCTGCTTCGAAGCTAATTTAAAGAAACGAAGAGAAGCTACCGGGTTGAGCTTGAGCTTCAGGAGAACAGCCTCGAGGAGGCCATTGGAGAAATCAATTTTGAGGCTTTCAAGGGCGTTATAGCGCCGGAGAATCAAGAGTCGACAAACCCGATCGATGATTTCGGATCGAGAGAGCTGGGGCTCAAGTCGGAGCCCTAGATGATGAACTGGGGTGGTGTGAATGGCGGCCGTCTGCGGGCCGAGGCGAGGGAGAAGAAGAATGAGGTGGCGATTGGAGAGAGGCATGACGGGTTATTCACAGTTATTCGTAGTTGCCAGCCATTGACGGATACAGCCGTATGAGCTCTTCCCAGTTGGCTCTGTCCATGGATTCTAGCTACAGAGTTGTCTCGGCGCCAAGAGTTGTTTTTTGTTGTACTAACATTGTTGCATACTCCTTATTTTCGTTCAAAAAAAAAAAAAGGAAAATAAGGTGCTGCACCCATCCCATGCTTAGCATAGACAAACATGATTTAAAAAAAACATTGATGCATATTTTTAGTGGTCTTAAAGTACACTGAATAAGACTTAAATATAAATCATTTATTAATGTAGGACTTAAACTTTTTCATTACTTAAATATGACTTAATAATGACTAGTGAAAAAATTAATGTCTAAATAATACTGGACATTTAATTCAATAATGACTAATAGATAATGACCAATGGTCCTACATTAGAAAATAAAAATATATAATACTATATTGAGAAAGTCATTATGTGTGCTATATTGAGCACTAAATGTAGGCATATTAAAAATTATTTTTAATATAATCTAATTCTAATAAAAATAAGTAGAAAAATGTCAGGACTCAGGAGTACACCAAAATGTGTACCCCATTTGTACTTCACCCCCTCTTTGTCCATAAAAAAGACAAGAAATTCAAAAAATAAATAAATAAATAAAAATAAAATAAAAATTGGTGTCAGATGATCCTCTAATATATTTTTTTTAAAAAAAAATTGAAAGTCTCCAAACCCTGCAACACCACGTCGCCGCGCACGCCATTGTTAAGGCCTTTATTTATGCAGTGAAGTTCGTAGGATATCGTCTCAAACGGAGACCTCGGAGATGGTTTCATTCCAAACTTAGAAGCCACAAGGAAGAGAGAGAGAGAGAGGGGCAGCGATTTTCACCTCTGGAGTAACCAAACATTCAGAATATGGCAATTGACTGTCTGGTTTTGGGTGAGTAATTTCTTAGTTCCCCCATTGAAGATGATAGTCTACCTCTTCGTATTGCCAGAACGCGTATGTTATTGAACATGACCATTGATGCAAATATGAACTACAGGGGCGGGGCAAGAGGTGGGGAAGAGTTGCGTGGTGGCGACGATTAATGGAAAGCGGATAATGTTCGACTGCGGCATGCACATGGGCTTCCTGGATCACCGCCGCTATCCTGATTTCTCGATGATCTCTCCGTCTGGTGATTTCACTACTGCCCTATCTTGCATCATTATCACCCATTTGTAAGGGCCCTGGTTCCCCTTTTTTACTAAATTTGTCCGTCTTTCTGCCTTCAAATGAGAACTCATTCTTCTAGTTTTGCATTATCATGGGTGATATTGGGATTTCATTTGAATGGTTGATGCAGCCACTTGGATCATATAGGAGCTCTTCCATATTTCACTGAAGTTTGTGGGTATAATGGGCCAATTTACATGACGGTAATATCCCTCCAATGTTTTATGGGAATAGTTTTTTTTTGGTTTCTTCGCACTGGGCTGTTTTACAGTAATTCAGTGGGGATTTTAATTCTCATTTCTTTCTGGGTGACATAAATGGCTCATCAGTATCCCACAAAAGCTCTGGGTCCACTAATGCTGGAAGATTACCGTAAAGTAATGGTTGATAGGAGGGGAGAAGAAGAGCAATTTACTGCTGAAAATATCATGGAATGCATGAAGAAAGGTATCTGCTCTTCATGTTAATGTATTTCAAGGCCTTTGGGTTCTGGCGACCAAACTGGTCTATGATAGTGCTTCATACTTATTTAATGGATTCATTCATGATATGCGTGCCGATGCTTGTTTTGTCCAGTTTGACGTTTTAGTCAAACTGGGTGAACTTTGATGATCACTTAATAAAAATTGCATTGCATATTAATAAGAAAATAATTTCAGTAGGTTTATTTTACAAACAACTTTCAAAAAGTAATTTTATTGTATTAATATGTGATGCAATTTTATTTAACAAATGGATTTATCCAGTTTGATTGATGGGACGGAGGGAGTATTTATTATTCGTATTGTTACTACAGATTGTTAGGACTCTTAGGAGTGGACATTGTTCAAGTTGAAATCCTTGTGTTGAAAAAATCTACCTTTTTTCTAAAACAAATCAATATCAAGACAGATTTTGATGAAATTAATTAGTGGACTTTATAAATAGTTAAGCAGCTACTTTTTTAAGGGAACAGCTACTGTAGTGCATTTGAAACCTTGAATAATTTTCTTATCCAAAATTTTTACATCTGCACCTGTAACCCTCTACATGCATACATTGAAACTCATAATTTGCGTGCTTGAATCCGTATGCAGTTATAGCGGTGGACGTGAAGCAAACCGTGCAAGTTGACAACGATCTACAGATTCGTGCATACTATGCGGGACATGTGAGATATTGAACTTAATCTTTTATTTATTCCAAATTTCCATTGACTTCAGGGTTTTCCATTATCTTGTTGCCCTGTGAAGGTAATACAGTTTTGACTAGCTAGAAAACCAAGGCACTTACACTTTTTTTCTGCATCGTTTTCTTCTAAGAATCTAAGCTGATCCACCTTTAGATGTTATTTGAGTTGATTAGTGAAATATGGTAGGAGTAAGGACTAAGGACTGAAGGGCATGCTCATATTTTTCATTTGTTTAATGGTTTCTATACAACTATACCACTTTAAAAGCTCTAATTGGATTGGTTCTGCTCATCAAACTGAATGGGGATAATAAACTGACTTGAAGAAGTTACTTCTGTATACTTGAGATTGCAAATGATCCTTTTTGGGGTTGTGTGGTTCCATACGACTTTCCTTTTCTCTAATTGCCATGCTATATTCGATGATTGGCAACCTTGTTTCTAGGTCCTTGGAGCTGCAATGTTCTATGCAAGGGTAGGAGATGCCGCTATGGTATATACAGGAGATTACAACATGACACCTGACCGACATCTTGGGTCTGCTCAAATTGACCGGCTGCAGTTGGACCTCGTAATTACTGAGTATGTTATGCCACTAAATTTTGCGTATATCGTTTCTCAAAGTTGCTTATGTGCATCAGGTCCCATTTATTCCTGTTACAACTTTTCACCATTGAACATTGCTTTGATTCACACTCCTTGGAGAATGGGCACCGGTTTGCTACTTTGCTTTAATAATTACCTATCAACAGTAAACACAATTACATAGGCTCCCTTTAGAGTGGATAAATGGGCGCGGATGAAATTGGTAGAGTTTAGGCAGTTATGTGTGCACTTCTGAAGACGAGTATAGTAAATGCCATCAAGAATTTGATCATGGTATATATTGTAAAGATTTACTCGTATTTAATTAAAACAAGTGTACTTTGTTTTACTATTATAATTGTGATAAATGGGATATTAATAGTAATTGTGAGCAATTTAATAATAATAAAAATGTTAAAGGGAGCGACTGCAATCCTATATCCCTATATTTTTGTTTTAATATAAATTATATTTATGCATTTTATTCAATCGCATAAGAAAAAAGTGGAATAATGTATGGTTAGTATTAGTTTTTATGCTCACTTGCTAATATTTGAACGAGAAATGTGAGATCTGTTCCCCCTAAATTTTGTAGTTTTTTATTTCCTAATTTTGAACTTTTTCCATGTATATTTTTCTTTTATAGGTCAACTTATGCAAATACATTTCGTGATTCAAAATATGCTCGTGAAAGAGAGTTTCTGCAAGCAGTAAGAAAACTGATATTTTTGTACCTTGAGTTTATCTAAGAGGCCGGGAGAACACGTATTAAAGAAAGCAGTTCATATATTGAAAATTAGTTGGTCATAGGTTTGAGTGATCAATGGTAGAGGTGAAATATCTTTTGAAACATCTCATGGAGTACTATTGAAATAAAAACTAAGATTTGCATATGATGTAGAGAAGCCTTGCAGTTAATAAAATACTTTGGAGAGCTATGGTATATAGAGTACTATTACCTCTGTTCCCAAAAATGACCCTTTATGGAACTCTGCCTAACTTTGACCATTGATTTCTCTCAAAACACATTGTTGAAAATTATAATTTCTATCTAAATTTATTTACTAGTGAAAGTAGTTTCATTATTTTGCAAACTTTAAGTTTTGCCTATGAGTTTTGTGAGATTTCAATATTCAAAGTTTGGGAAGATTTCACTCAAAATTTTGGGACGCAGGGAATACCAGTAAAGTATATTCGCAAGCAAACACATGCATTGAGAACTGGACACAAATAACATATTTACTACTTCTTTTAAATATTGGTGATTCATACTTTATTTTGTGTCATTGTGTGTTAAAAATATGTTTATAGGTTCACAGTTGTGTTGCTGCTGGGGGGAAGGTGCTAATTCCTACATTTGCCTTGGGCAGAGCTCAGGTAGTTCAGTAATGAATTTTGTTCTAATTAATGTCCTTGTGTGATTAGATATATGCCATTTTTCTTTCCATTGCTTTATGTTCATAAAACAATGATAGCTTTAGTGTCATTTCAGTGGTATAGTTGAAATATCTGGGTAAGATAGTCACATACTCACTTGTTGGGGCCTGGGGGATTAACTATGAGTAATAGGAGATATTTTGGGGACTTAGGGATAAACCGCAGTCACAATTTAAATTTCAGAGTTTAGTGTTGAATCTAGATTCTAGAGTTCTTTGCCACAGTGGTCTCATAAACTAAATTACATGTAAAAATCCCTCAACTTGTATTTCTAGTTGGGCAGGAGCTTTGTTGTATTTCAGTATAAAATAAAATTTCAATTGTAATGTTTGCTTTGTCCAGTTAAAGCATTAGATGCTCAATGCTCCATGTTCAGAGGATACATATTTGATGTGTTGAATAATGTGACAGTATGTTAGCAATGATTCGTGGGATCCATTTGGGTCGTTGTTATGTTAGCAAAGATGTGGGACACATGTATCAAAGGTGCAGTAGGGCGCACAAGCGGATCAAAGACGAAAATTACTTGTCTAATTATGATTCAAATTCTTTTAATTATATGTTGCTTTCTATTTTTCCAGCGTTTCCTATGGCAATTAGAATTTCGTGTTAGTCTTGTATTAGGTCTCCTATTAGTTATCAAATTATTATTAGAAGGTATCTTGTAATCTTCTTTATAAGAAGGGATGATTTGTTCAATAGAGCATAGTTTTGAAAGGCGAAAGGCAGGCGAGAGGGCCTTTTGTATTTTCCATTTCAACTTGAACATGGTTCTTAACCCTTCCAACTACAAGTTGTTTCAGCGTGAAATATAATTTCAATTTCGCACAAGTTGAAATTTGACTTTTAATTTCAAGTCAAATCATTTGTATCGAGGAGGTTGTGTTGAAAATCTTCATTAACATGCTTGGAGTATATGGTGCTCTAGTTTGAGCATGAGTATTGAAGTGTATTATGTGTAATGAAACTTTATATGGCTTGACCTTTTAATTTTATGATATGCAATTATGATCTCATTGATTGGTTTCAAATAGTAAAATACCCAAAGCTGATAATCCCAATGATACACACACACACACACACACACACATACATATATATATATATATATATATATATATATATATATATATATATATATCTATATTACATTTATTACATACCAGATCTTGATTGTGTTGGGTTTACTATGCTCTTGATTGTTGTTCTTCATTAGACACCCTAGATGTGATCGATTTTATTGCCACTCAATATATGTTTTTTCTTGATTGTGTATATGAGACTACATTTCTAATTCTGAATTTTGCTCATGTTATATGTCACAGGAAATATGTATGCTCCTCGATGACTATTGGGAGCGTATGAATCTTAAAGTTCCTATTTATTTTTCAGCAGGTTTGTTTCCTCCTTTAACTTATGTGTAGCTTTATGGTGCTATTGTTTTTCATTAATTGCATATCCTTATTACATGTTTCTTGGTAACATGTTATAGGAGGCAAAGCTATAGGTGACATGACTATTTTTAGGAGTTGATGCAGGAGTAAAAAATATAATTTCTATATTTAAGAATTACATTAAAAAATCTACAAAACTATAGGTGACATGACTATTTTTTTGTCAAATAATCATTGACAATAGCCAAAGGAAAAAGATAATGTTTGACTCGTGAATAAGAGAAGATTGCATTCTTTTGGGGATGGAGCCTGGAGGGAGTACTATTGATGCATTTGTGTAACTGTGTATGAATCTGATTCACTTGTTTTTGTTGGAAATAGGAAAGGTCTCACATTGGTTAGTATGGATGCAATATAGAGTATAAAAGCATTCACATATAAGTAGGCTATAACCTATTTCCTTGAGGTATTGGGTCAATATGTGGTGTCCAATTTACTTATGCAAGAGGCAATCTCGGGTGAGTGCCTCTCTCGCCTTAGTAGTTGGCACAATGCGGTAACCCCTCTCGCTTTTGTTCCTATGTGGAAACGTGTCTCCGGGGACATAAACAAAGCTTTGGGATTGGGCTCATAAGTTAAATACTTTAGAAGAGTAGCCCTACCTAGGGATGGGCAAACACATTTGGATTGAATCATATTGATCGGGGGGGGGGGGTGCGTCCGTTTTTTCAAATCTTAAAATGGTTCGGTTTGATACGGTCTTCTAGTTATCGGGTCCGGTCCGGTCCGGTTTCCATTTTTAAATTTTCTTGTGCTCGAACCATCCCGTTTTTATTTGATAAAAATTTAAACTATATTATGAGCCGAAATTTCCATCAACCCTTTTTAGTTTTTAGTTCCCTACTTTTGCAAGAATGACCTAAATAAATATAGTTACCCAACCTTATTAATATGAGGACTTTTAGGAAGTGCCCAAAAATAGATCCGTAAAGACTTGACCCAAAGCAAACAATATCATACTAATGCAGGGGTTGGGTGAGGGCACGCATGGTCCCAACATGTGGTATGAGAGTCCAGGTTCGTGTGGGCAGAAGAGCAGCGGATTGCATTGTGCGGAATTCTCAGTGTGATGAGTGATGACAAAGACCAGAGATTTGTAGCTTGTATCGCTTGGCAAGCGGAAGCTCAGGCATCGTGTCCCGTTAGTTTAATGACGGATTTGACAGATCAAGTGGTGTGACCTCAATCCAGTCCGCAGATTTGTGGTATGCGACATACCATGTGTCGAAAGTCCTCATGACAAGAGGAGGTCGGGCGGAATATTTCGTGAGATTGGAGTGGCGGTACAAGATGGTGTGCAAATCAAATGGATCATCGATGAAGGGGAGGTTAAGAGATTGTGGTCTGGGTTTGAGGAGAGGTTTGTTGAGGTGCAAACTCCATCCGACATAAAAAATGAAGAAGAACGACATAAATAAATATGGTTGCCCAACTCCATTAGTATGAGGCCTTATGTGAGGTGCCCAAAAACAAATTCGTGAAGGCTTGGCCCAAAGCAGACAATATCACGCTAATGTGGGGTGGGGGTGGGGGTCAGGGTACGCGCAGTCCCAACACAGCAATGTAAGACATACAAAAAAAGCGTTGCAGGTTAGTTCTTTGGTTTGGCGAGGTATCCCGCACAACTCCGCCGAGGTATGCCATGCATCTCTAGCGAGGTCTGCCACACAACTCCGATGAGGTAAGCCATGTGTGCAATGATGATTATAATTAAAAAGTCCTAGGTTTTTTAGCTCTTAAGGTTCAAGTGATAGTAAGAAATTGCTTATGGCTAAGGGGTGGACTCAAGAAAAAGTGTAGAGGCAATTGTAGAATTTATTGTGATTGATGAGATGCCTCTTAGTGTTGTGGAGAAAGAGGGGTTTAGGCAAATGATGAGTAAAGTGCAACTTAGGTTGTGTGTCTTATCTAAAAAAGCTATTGTTATGAAGTTTTTCAAGATGTATGATGACATAAAAAATACCTTAAGAATGGAGTTACACAAATATGGAGTGTCTTTGGCCACTTACACATGGACGTGCCCAAAATTTTATAGATGATGATTGGAATATGCCCAAACAAAATTTGAAAATTTGTCCCATTCCAAGTCATTATGGTAAAGAAATTGGGAAGATAATTGACAATGTTTGGTTCATGAGAATATTGAAAAGGTTATGTGTATATCTATTGATAATGTATCCACTAATAAAATGACAGTTGAATGGTTTTGGTCAAATGAAAAATGGCCCAATTATCAACACGTCTTAGAGGGAAAGTATATGTTGTTGGCCATGTGTGTGCATCAATTGTCTCGTGGCGGAGGCTATGTGGGCCAAGTCACAATCGTATATCGTGGATGCTTGTGTGTGCTGATAAGGCTAGGGTATGCACTTTTTCTAACACCAATTGATTTTATAAAAATTGGTAGCGACTCAGGTCCTTCATATGCATGTAAGCTGTGTAGCTGATACTATCAAATTGATTGTGAGAGATGGTTTGAAATAGTTGGATAGGAGGGGGCACAATTATAAATGCTATAAAGTTTGTCAAGTCTTCTCCACCTTGATATGATTATTTCAAAAAGTGTGCCGAAAGTGAGAAACTAGCAACTAAAAGTGTAGTTGTTATGGGTGTCCCTACAAGATGGAATAACACTTATTTGATGCTGAACTCGGGCTTGAAATTGAAGAAAACATTTGATAGAATGGCTGACGAGGAACGCAATGCATATTAAAGTTACTTTAGAGAGAAAGAATTGCAATGGTTTGACAATGAAGATGGTGTAGAACAACCATTGGGAAACAATGACAATGGAAGAGTTAGACCTCCCAATGAAAGAGATTGGGACACTGCACAACTTTTTGTTTCATTTTTGAAGATCTGTCATTTTGCCACTTTGAGAGTTATTGATGCAAAACATCCCACTTCTCATACAACATTCCATGATGTGATTACAATGGAAAATGAAATACACAAACTTTTCTTACCTAAGTACTCCCTCCGTCCATGTATGATCTTCCCATTACGCGTTACGAGGCTTGACCGACTTTATTTTCAATTCAATTTAATTGATTATAGGAGTAAAATTTTAAAATAAAATTTATATAGTAATAAACTACATGAAAAGCTCTACAAAACTAGAGGTGACAAGACTATATTATTTTATGAAATGACTAGTAAAATTGAGCAAACAAAGTGAGTAAAGTTTGACCCTATGAATAGTGTCGGGGAAGATCTTTGGTGGACAGAGGGAGTATTTGCAAAGTGGAGATGTTGAGAAAAAATTTGACTTCGCTACAAGCATGTAGACAAAATACAATAAATTTTTTGGTAAAATCAGTGAAATGAATTAGATATCTTATGGCCCTTGTCTTAGACTCACAATTCAAAGTGAGACAAACTTGTGTTTCAACTTGAATCGTGTGCCTAAGACAAGGGCCACAATAAAGAGTTTATTCATTTCATTGATTGAACCAAAATATTTATTGTTTTTTGTCTTCATGCTAGTAACTTTGTCCGTTAGATTTTTTTCCTCAACATCTTCACTTTGCAAATACTTAGGTAGAAAAGTTTGTGTATTTCTTTTTTTCAGTGTAATCACATCGTGGAATATTGTATGAGAAGTGGGGCGTTTTGAAGCACTAACTTTCAAAGTAATCAAGTAAAAGAACTTCAAGAATGAAATAAAAAGTTGTGCATTGTCCCAAGCCATTAAATTGCCACTTTGTTAGTGGATACATTGTGAATAGATGATGTACACATAACCTTTTCAATTTTCCAATGAACCAAACGTTGTGTAGTTAAATTCTCAATTTTTGAATTTTTTGTTACCTTGATGACTTGGAATGAGACAAATTCAAAATTTGTTTCTGCATATTTTAATCATCATTTATGAAATGAGTCATTATTACCATAGAATTTACATTTTGCACACTCCTCCATGTGTGAGTGGTCAAAGACACCGTATTCTTGTGTAACTCAATTCTTAAAGAGTTTTTTATGCCATCATACATCTTGAAAAACTCCCTGATAATGGTTCATCTAGATGGGACATACAACCTAGATTGCACTTTACTCATCATTTGCCTAAACCCCTCCGTTTCCACGATATTAAAATGCATCTCATCGATCACAATAAATTTTACAACCGCTTTCACATTTTTTCTTGACTCACCCCTTAGCCATAAAAAAGCTCTTACTATCACTTGGATCAGAAGAACTAGAAAAACCTAGGACTTTTAATTATGGTCATTGTTAGGCACATATTTCATACATTAAAGATGTGTTTATTGTACCATTTGTACGTACTTGGGGCGTCTCCACATAGATCACAAGCTAACAATTGAGCATAGTAGTTACATTGAGGCTTTAGTATAGAAACTTCGACCATCTCTTGTTTTCATCTATCTCTATCTCTTGCATTTCTTTGACAGTAATTTTGGAGTCATGATTCCAAACCTAATATCTTTCCTTTATGCTTTTAAAATCAACAGGGGCAACACATATCTTTCTATTTTTTGTGTTTGATTCACGTCGAGACATAATGCCATGTTATAAAATATTTCATCATAGTAGTTACATTGGGGCTTTAGTATAGACACTTTGACCATCTCTTTTTCTCCATCTATCTCTATCTTGCATTTCTTTGACAAGAATTTTGGAGACATGATTCCAAATCAACGGGGGCAACACATGTTTTGATTCACGTCGAGACATAGTGCCCTGCTATAAGAAAGCATTGAATTGAAAGCATTGAATTGAAATTTGCCGCAAGAAATCTGCACCTGGGACGGGGATTGAAATTGACCTCCAAATCTGGTTCCCCCTTCTTATTGTTTGTCTGTTCCTAGGGTCGTGGTGTACCCCGCTAGAGTTGTGCGGCGTACATCGTTAGAGAAGAGAATTAGCCGGTGATGTGGTTTTACACGGCTTACATCACTAAATTGATTTTGGAATCGATGGAGTGCTTAAGCAACTAAGGTTGCGGAAGTGGGAAACTAAATACTAAGGGCTGATGGGGATTTGAGCTTAGAGTACAAACATGGGTGGACCTACTCATGGTTAAATGCAGTCAATTGACTCCACTTGACAATGTATAATTTTTATATACTCCCTCCGTCCCGGAGTATTCGTCTAGTTTTGACTTTTGGAACTGTTCATCTAAGCACTTTGACTCATCAAATTATCTCAATGTGTAAGCCTAAGTATAGTCATGTGTGATCTTGTTTGATTTGTCTTAACATATAGATTATTAATATATAATTTCTATAATTTTTTAATATACAAATTACAAGATAAAATGGATTAAAGAAGTGTATTGGATGGTGTGTAAAAATGAAAGTGGACAAATACTCTGGGACGGAGGTAGTATTTAGTAGTTTAATTATATATTTGCGTGGATTAGTTAGCTCTGACCTTGCTCCTTCAACCCGGCAATTGCAATTCGAATCCCCAACTACTTATGGTAGCCCTTTTTAAAAATTAATCATTTTTTTAGGTAGGCATTTTTTTGAAATGTTTATGTATATATACATGGATTTTGTAATACATTCATAAAATATTTTAAATCATTGTTAGTTCATTCATTTGATTTTTTACGCTCTTCAATGTAACATTTTAAATACTACAGAGTACTATCTGTATCTATATATTAATATATATTATAAAAATATAATATGTCAAAATTATGATATTGATAATGAATTCATATTATACTTCAATGTATTTTTTTCATAATTTATAATCAAAGTGAAAAAATGTTGACCACAAAAAATCAAATGGGAATAATCAAATTGAACCGAGAGAGTATTATTTTATATATATCTTTCTATTTTTTATACGAAATATTGATAATATATAAAATTATGAATATACGAATTTTAGTTATTAAATTATGAATGAGTGTAAATTATTGAATTGAAAACTTACTCCACTCTCAACCATTCCTGGGTCCGCCACTGAGTACAAATTATAATGTAATCCAACAAACACAGGCCGGTCCAGGGCACTGGTAAACTTTAAAATGGGAACTGATAATTAAAAGACCAGTCCTGGACGGAACCGCTTTCAGATTTAAAAATACGAATTCACCCCAAACCGTCCGGTTCAATTCAGGCTCACGGTTCTGTGACCTGTTTGCCCACCCCTAGCAATCAGGTCCTAGGCGACATATCTTCTTCTATGTTTGTTCTTTTTTGAATGAGCTGTGGCTAGTTTGCGTATTATTTTTTCAAAGTTTCTTTATTACTTTATTTCCTTTTCTGCTATCACTGTTTATTCCTGCTCCTGTTTGTGACTAGCTGTTGTAATAATTATTACAAAGCATTTTCTACTCCCACTGCTTATTTCTATGTGAGTTTTCTTCCCAGCCTTGTTTATTTGATGACTTTTACTATATATTTGTATTGTTATTTGTTAAATTTATTTATATGAGTTTTATTTGTTTTTAAAATATCACAGAAATAGTAAGCTATAAAGTATTTTTTGTGTTTGAAATTCATGACTTTCTTTGGATTTAAGATATTTATTTCAATACAACACTACATTTTTTACAATTGTATGAATGTTTGTGTGTGATTACTTTGCCTTGCTTTTCCTTTTGGTTGTTCGCCTCTCCTATTGCCTTTGGCTTTGAAATTCTACCTCTTGCACGTCTCTCGCTTTTCATAACTATGGTTTTGCAATTGCTTGATTTTTGCTTGGATTTAGTTAACAGGTCATAAATAATCAAGCTGAAGCCAAACATTTTTATGGTAAACCTATCATGAACCTCTCGTTGGTTGTGATTTGATATGATTGTAGTTAAATTTTACTCCGTAGTTTATTCTCTTAACCTCTCGTTATATTTAGAGTTATATAAAAGATATGGGACGTAGGGCATATTAATAAAATAAATTGAATTAAAAATGAATTCAATGAACCATAGAGCATTTCAATCCCCTTTTGGCATGTTTTAATCTTTACCTAAATCTGAAATTGCATGATTAAATCACGAGTTGAGATACGACTATATGATACATTTGGGTGTTAGGAAGGATCTTCACTTGATCCAAGCAATCATTCTATGAATCTTGAGATTTCTTAAAATACAGTTGTATCCTAAATTTAAATTTAAATGACTTTAAAAATAAACAAATTGCGTTTACTTCACACGTTACTAAAGAAATAAGAAAAAATAACTAAACCTTCATAATGAAATTAAAGTTAATTTAATAACAAATATATCTATCACAAGTTCACATTTAAAAAATTCTAATTGTTAATTTTCTAAAAAGGTTACACAAATACTAAGTATTTTCCTTGTTAAAAGGATTTTCAATGAAGAAAAAACGTTGAAATTTAGAGGAAGGTAGCTAGAGTTTGAACTTCAAAGATTTGTCTAATGTGTTTATTAACTCAACAAAAGTAATACTTCATCAATGAAGGAAAAAAGTTGTTATCTGGGCTTCAACAAAATTAATACGGAGTACTTTGTACTCTATCAGGGATGAAAAAAACTGCCACGTAGGCTTTAAAATAAAATAAAATAGGTTAAGCGTGACTCAAACCTTGAAAATCAAATTTCATAACCTTGTGTTGCTCCAGTAAACCATAATGTCCTTTGTTTTCTAAGCTGCATTCTTTATATGTGTGTGTGTGTGTGTAATACGGAGTATGATATAGCTAAATATATGTACCTTACCTATATATGGAAATATGTAGTGGCCCGTGGGGTCACGACTCCCGAGAACCTGTAGGTCTCCCAATATTTATGGCACGTCATATCTTGCTCAGCAAGTTATCACCCAATCAATCAGAATGCCATCTTTTATATCGTTTGTTTAGGCTGTGTTATGGTTGTTTAGAATGTTTTAAATGACCTTTTGATGAGAATAAGCTATCCAGTCAGTTTGCTTGCGTGTGTTCAATTTCTCATTTAACAATGTGCTATCAAGGCTAGTGAACTTATTTGGCGAATGGAAGAGAGAATAGGAAGATGTTGAACTTATTTAAAACAATATACTCCACAGAAGTTACTGTGATCTTCAATGTGAATTCCTTACTCATGCTCTGAACAATCGTGCAGCTCATTTTGTTATTATGTTTCATTGAGTATTTTATACCTGTATTTTAACATGCTGGGGTTTCAGGTTTGACTGTCCAGGCTAACATGTATTACAAGATGCTCATTAACTGGACCAGCCAAAAGGTGAAAAGCACATCCACCATATGCAATGCATTTGATTTTAAAAACGGTAGTACTTTCTAAACTAATTGGAGTTCTAGTAAAGCTAGGAATTTAGCTTCAGATGCGTATTTTGTTTGAATGCTTTAAAATTAGATGAAGTAAAACATGTGGTTTATAAAGCATTTACCAATTTGTTATTCTTCTAAGATTTTAATTTATAGTATGCAGTTTTGATCGGTCACTCATCAATGCTTCTGGGCCTTGTGTACTCTTTGCTACTCCGGGAATGATAAGTGGAGGGTTTTCTCTTGAAGTTTTTAAGCAGTGGGCTCCGTGTGAAGATAACCTCATTACACTTCCTGGGTAAGTTCAAACCATTTATTGATTTTCACAACTTTAATTTTTACTTCAAGAGAATGCAACTGTCTTATTGTTTTTATGCAAGTAAGAAAACTATGAAGACAGTTTCGTAATTTCATCTCATTATACCATCTTTAAAGGGTTGTGACCGTAAAGGCATCTGGCCCAAAACTCTGTCTATGTACTTATTGCATGAGCTTATTGTAATGTTAAATAATCATAATCAATCAATTTGCAGTGCAAGTTTCATGTCGCCCTCCCCAACATAGTTTTGGTTTAGGCGTTGATCATGATGTTGATGATATGATCTATCTTGACCTTTTACTAGCTCCACCAGGCTTGGACTATTGACCTTTTACTCCACTGTTCGCAAATACTTTGTAGTTGTCATTTTTTGGATGTTTCAAACCACCATTGCTGTTAAGTCGTTGACTAGTCGCCGACTAGTCGTCCGGTCATTTTGGTAGTGGCGACTAGTCGACGACCTAACCCAAGTCGTCGACTAATCACCTAGCGACTTGGGTGGACTAGTCGTTTGGCCGTGTAATGCAACGTCTAGTCGCACCTTGGAAACCCTACAAAATTTGACCCAACCCGACCCAAATTTCATTAAATTTTAAATTTAAAAGTATCGCTTCCCTCATTCACTAAGCACATTGTGACGATCCTTCCTGACTTCTCTCTCTCTCTCACTCTCTCTTTCTCTCTCTCTCTTGCCAAAGCCCATCTTCCAGGATCGGTTCTTCTAGAATCAATTCTTCTCCATCATCCTCCATGGGTAGGTTCTCTTTATCTTTAACTTCTTTTTGTGCTTGCTATCTTTTTTGGTACTTGGGGTGTTGTTTTTGAAGATTGAAGGGTATTAGTTTCTTATGTACCCTTCGTTATGTGACTTTATGTGCTACCTTTAAACATAATTTTGTTTTGGTAATGATATTTTGTCATATAAATATATAGTTATCTTTGGTCAAAGAAGATATATATCATGTCAAAAATTTCAACCCGTTGGTTTCCATGACATTGATTCTCAATGTCATGGGATTACCTGGGGTCCCTAGGGTGCTTCATTTGAAAAATTGATGGTTCTTACCCCTCAGTAAACCCCCCACCCCGGCCCGGCCCGAACCTACCCCCCTCCCCCGTCAATTGTACCAGACAAGCTTTAGTTGACTTTGGAGTCAAATTTGGACACCAAAGTCAACTAAATCTCGTGGGGTGCAATTGACGGGGGTGGGGGTAGGTTTGTCTCAAGCCGGGGTGGGGGTTTACCCGGAGGATCAGGGGAGTATGAATCATCAATTTTCCGAACGGAGTACCCTAGGGACCCCAAACGTGGCCTATGTCATAGGATGACATGGGGGCTAATGTCATGGGGACAGCCCCAAATTGCAATACTAATTGTGATTTGTCCACTAGTCTATGACTAGTCCACTAGCCTTCTCTTCACCTACTCGACTTGTCGCCTTGATAACCATGCAAATGACCCATAATATGAAAGCTCTAAAATGTTGTGATAAAAGTGTAAAAGATTTCTATGTCCTTGTTTGAAGTTGTTAATTGAGCCTAACTCTGTCACAAAAAGATCCTCAAGACAGAAGACACGAGAGGTGGAGATTTGCCAAACTTTATAAACTAGTTTATGGTCCTATAACCCATTAATGTGTGGAACTTAATACACATCCGTCAGCCCAAACATGGCTCGAAAACGATCAGGTGGACCCCAAACCGTGGATCAAATGGGCGGGTCTCAAACCGTGGCGTGGAATCAAGAAATGGTTAAGCTTTGATACCTTGCTAATTTGACCCAACTCCACTCCAAAAGGATTCTTAAGGGGTGGGGTCTGACAAACTTTATAATATTATGGTCCCAGGTTGGTTTGAAAAGGGAGCGTGAAATGACTTGGTCAATAGTTCATATGATTACCAGCAAATGAAGGTGGATGCTTTGATTATATCTGGACAAGAAGATGGATACTCTCCATTGTCAAGGTGGGTTTGATAAAGAAACAAGGGTCAATGTAATTGCTAACATGCCATTAGAAGGTAGCCTCTCACTGCCCTAATAGCCCATCTGTGACACTTATTCCTCTGTGTGTCTTCTTTATGGCTATTATTTCAAGAATCAGCTGTGAATGCTTACTGATATCAGAGAAGAATGACCTAATTGAGAATAGGTTATCATTCTTTCTAACAGTTTCTAAATGTATAATTGTATATACACGAAATTTTGACTAGAGTCTAGAATAAATTTCACTTTGTTAACTACAATGTATAATTGATCATTGATGGCTTGGCTTCAATAACCCTAGACAATGAAAGAGATTTCTTCTTTTCAACTGTTTTGTGCTTGCCGAAGGGCTCAAATGCACTCATTTTTTATTTGCAATTATTTTTATAGTTCACTTACAGTATGATGCATATGTTCATGAATATGTATTTGTAGGGTTATGTTGTGCCATGGTTAGGTAGTTTTTTTAGTACACAAATTCTGTGATTACAATCTTCATTGCTTGTGACTAGTCGATATCTTGTGCCTGCCATTTGATTCAATGCTGTTATTTTCTTAAAAATCTCTTCTTTTTTATCAGATACTGTGTAGCCGGAACCATAGGGCATCAACTGATGTCAGCTAAAATACCCACCAGAATTGGTATGGAAGGAGGGACCTATGTTGATGTTCGCTGTCAGGTTCCTGAGTCGATTCCTTTCCATTCACTTCTCGTCTTTCTTTTAGCAACATGTTTCAAAAACTATATTTTATGCTTCAACAAATTTATATGTATACTTCATTCATCTCTAATCTTTCTTTAACCAATTATATCATTATCATGCATTTACTAGATCCATCAGCTGTCGTTCAGCCCACATACTGATGCCAAGGGAATTATGGATCTAGTGAGATTTCTTTCCCCCAAACATGTCATACTTGTACATGGAGAAAAACCAAAGATGGCTCTACTAAAGGATAGGATTCGATCCGAATTGCAAATCCAGTGTTATGATCCTGCAAATAATGAAACAGTGTGTGTCCCTACTACTCACTGCATACAAGTGGATGCAACAGATGCCTTTCTCAAAAGTGTCTTAACCCCAAATTTCAAGTTTCTAAACACAAGTTCATCAACACCTTCCGGTCCAAATAATACCGACACAAGACCCAATCCCCTGTTGCAAGTATGTGATGATAGGGTTAGTCAAGGGGTACTAGTTATCCGATCCAACCAGAAACCGACTGTTGTGCATGAGAATGAAGTGAGGGCAATGCTTGTAGCCGAAACCCATGAAGTGAGATTCGGTTACTGTTTTCCCGTGCGCGTGCGTTCATCTCATGATGCTGCCATCAACTACTGTGGCGAACGACAAAATCAGGGATTCGAGCCTCCCAAGCCCGACATAAATGTTTGGCTCCAGTTATTGTATGCAGAGTTGTCAAGAGGACTCGAGGATTTTGTTGTTCTGAACAATGGGGATGATCTTCGAGTGGAATCATTTGTGGTCATCGTTTGTTCGAAAGAAAAATGCCCAAACAGGTTTGCACAGAGCACAGCCAAGTTGGTACATTTCTGCTGCACTTGGTCACTGGTAGATGAGAAACTTGCTTGGAGAATCATATCAGTCATGAAGAATTTGGAGCTGTAAGTCTGTAAATGAGTCCATTTTAGTCGAATTATTTCTCCCTCTTAGAAAAAAGATTCGTGTTTGAAAGTTAATGTCCAAAAGACTCATATTCTAACAAGAGCAGGACTGGTCTTGAGAACCAGCCCAAATTTTCCTTGAAAAAAAGTCATGAAGATTATTGCAGTTTGTTTTTATATTTTTCAGCTATTTGTACTGAAAATTATTTTGATGACTTTTTATGTGATTATTGTGATTTGTTTGAGTTTATTTATTTCTCCTAATAATATATCTATATTTTCATATTTTTTCCTTTCCTTTCCATAAAAGGAAAGTAAATGAGAAGTTAAAAGTCTTATTTGCCCTTGAACACAAGTCTCTTCTCTTCTTCCACTTTTTTCTCTCTCTCACACTCAAATCACCTCTCCTTGCTATCATAGTTTCTTCTTAATCTATCATCTAAAACCCAAACCCTAAATTTACTTGTGGAATAATAAAATATATGAACCCAAACTGAAAATTTAAAAATCCGAACTCGACCCAAAAAAATCAACCCAAACCGAACACTAGTCAGGTTTGGGTTTGAGATTTTACCCGACCTAATTATTTAAAACTAAAAAATTCTATGCATGCCTCTACACAGTAGTCAGTACTACATACTCCCTCTGCCCCTAAATAAGCTTCCACTTTCGTTTTTTCTTTGTCTCTAAATAAATTTTTCTTTTCTCTTAAAAAACATCTTTTACCCCTTACTTTTTCATACCCTACCTATCACATCATACCTTTTTACTAATAATCTACCTATCGCATCTTACTTTTACATATCACATCAAAGATACTTTTGGAAAGTCAACACAAAAATATCTCTCCCTTAAATCTTCAAAAAGTCAAAAATGAAACTTTATTTAGGGACAGAGGGAGTATAATTTAATATATTATATATATTCTTCCATTTCTCCACTTCTCGTACTTTTATAACATTCAATTGCATCTCTCTTTCTCACATCTCACTACTTCCTTACCGATCATTTATTTACCTTGTCTATCTTGTTAATAATGATTTTTCGTATAACGTGTTTTATGTTTTCCTCTACGGAGTACTGCATATAATATAATATATTCTCTCATTTTTGTACATTTTAGAAAATTAATGTGTCAAAATTTGATCGGGTTTGAGTTAGATGTTATTTTTATATAAAAGCGTGGTTAAAAATTTGTTATTGGTTAAAAAACGGGTTCGGGTTTAAAAGTCAGATTCGGGTCGGTTTGAGTTTCAAGTTTTAAAGTCATGTACTCATATTCGAGTTCTGGGTTAAAAAGTTGTGTCGGGTTTGGATATACGTAGTACTCCGTAGTATTTTCCGACTCAAACCCGACCCGTTGCCATCTCTAGTCACCTTATAAAATTGGGTCGGGTTCGGATATAGTACGAGCTTGCTAATGAATCATCCAACCAATTAAACTTGTCGCACATATAATTTACGTCACTTTCAAGTTTTAACCTACGTCCCAAAATGATTTGTACTTTTACAATTGCGGTCTTTAAATAATTTTTGTTTATTTTCATGTTTTCATTGATCATTTGATAAAATAAAATATTTTTTACTTTTGTTTTTTAAATTTTTTGATGAAATATTTAAATATGTATACTTATTTTTTATTATTTAAAAAAATAAGGTTATTTTTTAAAATCACGGGATTTTCTACGTGTCTCAAAGCGTTTAATTCATATTTTGAGACGTGAGTATTATTTATAAATAAAAAAAATAATCTTTGAAAAATTTGTCCACCGGGAAATCAATCGTCCTGGTTCATCATCAATCATCATCACACTTCACAGTGGCCTGTGCGAGTTGATAGAAGGAGAATACCTTACGACTCCCAATAATTTTGCCCTAATTAACACGACAACATTCTCCCCCTCCCCAAATTCTTACGCCGCGGTCCTCTCAATCGCCGCCATGGGTCAAATTCTCGCCAAATACCAAGGTATCATTCATTCAGGCGTTTTGATCTCAGATTGCATTTTTATTTTTCTTCACTTCTCAAAGTCTCCGATTCAGTTCAGCACGTTTCTGGGTTCACAAAAAACTTCAAAATTAGGAAGAAACACTCGCTTCTGTATTTCAATAATGACGTTGTTTGACCATGCACTGGATCACAAGATTAACAAACTTTCCTTGAATGGAAATGAGGTATAGTTTTGGGAAGTTTGTTGATAGCATGGAAATCTTAGGTGTCTTTTGGTGAGTTTTGGAGAACTGACAAGATATTGGTTTTGATATCAGGAAGAAATGATATGGGTTTCTAAATCTGAAATGGAAGTGTTTGGAGAGACTTGAAATGGAATCAACTTTAACTCTTTACTGTTTGGTGAGAAAATTGAAACCCTTATGTTGGGCAATTGATAAGGATATACTCGTAGGTAATATTATAAAGATAAAATAACTGAAATAATAATAATATTAGTAATAATACTAATAATAATAATTCATCCAATTTAAGGAAAAGAAATCCAATAATAATAACCATAAAGGCAATGAAAGATAAATAAATTGATTAGAAAGTTAAGAACCAATCGAAAAAGTTGAGATAAAGGGAGATACTTGTACATGTGTTGTTTAGAACAAGAGGAAGAAGATCAAGTTGGTCCAGAGAAGAGACTTGCTGCAAGAAAAAGATATCGGCGATTTGCATATTTGATATCTACGGATTAGTTCAGATATGAAAACACAGGCTATACAAGAGTTTTCTCCAGATTTAGAAATTCCATATATATTTTTATTCACCAAACATGCCATTAGTATTATAGGAGTCTGTTTTGTCATTTCTCACGTGTCTTTTGATTGGGTCTTATATACTTTGCTTATTGTTCAAGTTGGAAGTAGTGGGTAGTTATGCATCTGTTTCTACTTAGTAGGGAAAGTGGTGTTAGTGGGTCAAGAGTCTGTAACATGCTATATATTCCTTGTTATGAGTTAATACAGATTGTCATAAATTGCACCAACCCTCTCATCTCCTTTCTCACTTACTGTTCTCTTCTTGGTTTTGATGATATCATTTGTTTACACTATGTTTGGTTAAAGGAATTTGAAAGGAGAAAAAATGATATGAAAGCTTATTTCATGTTTGGTTAGAGAGGAATACTAAAGAAAAGTGGAAGGAAAAGGACACGAGAGGAAAAAAATAAAAAAAGAAGAGTGAAAACAAAACTCCTTCCATGGAAGAGAGAAACCTTTTTCTTTTCTTTTCATTTTTAATTCCTGGAACCAAACATAGTCTCACGGACTGTGGGGAACGGGGGGAGTTTTTCAATGAAAAAATAAAAGATTATTGCATTTTGCTTTGGTCTCTCTCCAGCACCAATCACACATTTTTGGGTCTTCTTGTGGAAGCTATTTGTAAAGTCAACTACAGTATTAGGTATTGGCTCATGTTAAAAAAAATTAATCTATATATTGTCATAAAAGTGAAGGGGCAATATTACGTTGCCCAAAATTTTTCATCCAAAAAATTCTCACCTGTGTCTGGTTTGGCTATTTTTTGTTTTTTGGTGAATAGTTTTGGATAAAAAAATAGCATTTTCCTAAATGAAATAGATTAAACATGAATTAGATCTGTGGCACAATGTAGGCAAAGGATGGAGAGAGAGACAAACGCGACGTATTACCGACAAGGTGTTTGATCGGTTCAAAAATGACTTGGACAGAGTGACTTTGACTTTTGAAGATCTCTATATCGCGGTGCTGCTTATATTCAAGTAAGACTTGCTACTCATTTCACGTTTGGTTTCATTTTAATATCTCCTCTATCTACTGCTATCAGGCTGTCAAGAAAATAACTAACTCGGTTTTGTTCTTTCAGTGAATTAAATAAATGTTTGCCAGGGCCTCACCTAGACCCTCCTTCAAAAGAACAAGTTAGGGCCTTGATGAAGGTATCCCCCTTCCCTTTGCTTCCTATAGTGTGACTTTGATATTTTTTTAAAATTTGAATCATAATCTGTTAGTGTTGAACACTAATTGTCTTCCATATCACTCTAACCCTCTGTGTGGCTGGAAGGAAGAAAAAAGAGAGGAAAGAATGGAAAGGAAAGAAATTTGAAGGATTTCAAATTTTCATAGGTTGGTTTGGATGAAAGTAAAATAGAGATGAAAGAAAGGAAAGAAGTTCAATTTTTTTTGTTTGTTTGGAAAGAAAATGGATTTGATCCACACGGTGTGCGCAAATTCTATATGTTTCTACTCTTGAATGGGGGTAAGGTCTGCTTATACACACCCTCTCCAGACCCTACTTTCGTGGGGTTATATTGTGTCTTTGTTGTTTGGATAGAAAAATTAATAGAAAAGACGAAGATTGCTAAAGAAACCAAAGAAGGTGAGATTCCTTTTCTGTAGGGTTTTTCTTCCACTTTAGAGGGAAAAGGAAAGGGTGGGCCCAGTTTATTATTTTATTTCATTATATGCACTTTTCCACTCCACCAAACAAGGGGAAATGCAAGTTTTCCTTCCATTTTATTTCATTCCCCTTTCTTTCCTTCCTTTCTCCCCTTAAACAAACAGGTTGTAAGAGTCTTAATCAGTATAGTGTTCCTAAAAGTGAACGAAAGTTGATTGAAATGCTCCGCAAGCAAAAATCATGTCAATCTCTCAATTTGTATAAAACCTTAAGTGTATAATAAGCCTTCCAAAACCCTCCCCTCCACACACCTCTCTCCAAACATGCCCGAAGTGGGAAACACTTTCTTAGCTGCTGATTCCTAGCAGGTTACTCCCTTCTGAATACGTGTCCACACTATGTAATGTTCAACGTCCCAGATTGTTGTTTTAATCTTTTATACAGAAATATGATTTCAATCTTGACGGGGAGCTGAACCGTGAAGAGTTTAACAAATTCATCCTAGAATTAACTAAGGACACATTCTTCACAATCAGTCAAAAGATGATCACCACACTGGCAGTGGCACCGACAGTGGCTTTGCTGACGAAGAGGACAACGGAGGGTGTACCTGTGGTTGGGAAGGTGGTGCAGAAGTTGCCCAATTCTGTTTATGCTTCCCTTGTCACTCTTGCTATTGTGCTTTTCCAGAAAGCAACCGAAGGCAAGTAATCAAAGATTGGCTTTGTTATTGACAACAAGCCCTAATGGTGGTTGATAAAATGCAATTGTTGCATCGTTTTTTCTCTTTTTTTGGCAAAAAAGGGGCATTTACTGCACTCATATTTTTCCTTTTTGGGAAAGGGTATTTATTGGTGATGCAAATGCACCTTTTTGCCAAACAAAGACAGAATAAACATGTAACAAAGGCACCTTATCAACATGTCTCATGGCTTTTAGCAAAACGGATTAAGGATTGCTTCTTTGCGCAGTTAATGAATTCAACCTATAGTTCATAGGTTTTAATAATATGCCCTCGATCAGCTTTTGCACTGGCTGGGCAGGCTTGATTTGTGCATATATATGTTGTCCGAATTATTATAGGATGAAAGTTTGTGTTGTGTCAACTGATTTGTGGTGATTGTGTTCCAAGAGCACAAGTATGTGTACATGTTACAGAATAGATTCATATAGTTTGGTTTGAAATTGCAGCATTCATAATAGTGCGGCATCAATTTGTGCACTGTGAATCAAGACATCATCTTTAGTGCTTCATTGTTGTCACCTGCATACTTTTCTTTTTTCCTTTTTTTGTTTTGGAAAAAATATTGCTACAATAAAGCAAGGCGGGACATTAGAATTTCTTTTATTGCTCCAATCAACACCGTGAATCAAGACATCATCTTTTTTTCCCTGAGAATGGTCCAGCCGTTGGATCATTGTGAAATTTTTATGAGGGTGATCTATGTAGTTCGAAGTTTCAGTCCGACGGTCGATTTGGGTGAAAACAAGGCTGGGCATTATTTAACTTTCGACAACCATTCTCATTTTGCACTATTTGACCTCATTGTTGTCAACATATTCTTCCATAAAACTCCAAGTTACATGCGTTTGGTAGTTGCTGGCGGATACAATTAAAATCAGGCTACATGCGTTTGGTAGTGGCTATGGGAAAACAGGTAAATGTAAGATAGGGCTATTTTAGACAAATTGCACACAAAGCCAACTCTTCATAAAAATGGGAAAAAGTTCAAATGGAACTACTAGTTTTTTGTGATGGGTGAATTGTAAAATTGAAAAGTTCATTAAAATGTGTACCATATATAGAATTGTGTAAAGAGGAAAAACAGTACTACACTTCTTAGTACTCTGGCTCTATATATTGTACACTATGTGTAGACCATCTCCAATCCATTCACGAAAATCAAACCTAAAATGTAGTGTAAATCGAAAATGCAGTCATTCATCTCCAATCAGTTGCTCCACACAATCTCAAGCTCAAATCACAGAAATTCATTTTTTCACTTCTTTTTATAGTCTGTAACTTTTTTAAAAATATGCATTAAGGTACTTAAGAAGATATATACATAAGCATATAAACAAAACAAAATGATTGTGAAAAGCTACAACAACAAAAATGCAGTACTAAATAATAAAATGCATATTTTCGCTGGATGAGAGGAGAGATCATCTAAAACGAGTGGAGCGTGATTGGAGAAGCTCTTATGAGGAAACAAAACCAAAAAAGGCATAGTGTACCATATATAGAATCTTACTCTCAGGCATACTCCCTAATGGAGCCTTTGTCTGGTTTTGTTTCCTCCCCCAACTCACTGGGCTCAGCACTCATCAACCCCTTGCTGGCGAGCAATGGAAGCAGAGAGAATGGAGAGGTCGCGGTTGAGTAGAGTCAATGCAGTTTCACATTCTGATATTATTCGGGTGACCGAAGATGGCTCTCCTCCAACGGTTTCTGTTGACGATCCCACTGCCACTGCTGCATGAGAGTCCCTCAGATTCTTCAAGTTCCCTAGGAACTGTGTCACATTTTATTTTAAAAAAATCGTAAAAAGATTTTTTTTTCAGAATTTGAATCTAGAATAATAGCCAACATATGGAGGGCAAAAAGGTCCCATGAAGTTATATACCTTCCAAAGCATATTATATGCTTCCAGCAATCTATTGGCTGCTGGCCCAAATCCGTGCAATTGTGGCACCTCCATCATGTGTGTCCACGGACGAATTTCCTGCGAATGTAAAAAGTAATAATTAGGGATATTGATCTCAAACTGCAACATATTTAACTCCCCTACAGCAGTAAGGTGCTAATTTGCACTGATTTGTCCTCGCTAAATTTTACTGTGCGCACATTAGATCTTTTCTTTTAGTTACTGTAAAATAATACACTAGATATAAGACTCCTTAAGTAAAGAGACAAGCTACCTGAAATCATTTCTTATTTCTCCCTCTATCTCGATTTAGTGGTCCCTTTTCTTGTTTTTCGTTTGTTAAGAATTAGTCATCCACTTTCAATATCCAATGATAGGAACCTTTGGGAAGGGGTAGACCTAGGAAGAATTGGAAGGAGGTGATTAGGCAGGATTTAGGACTTCTCACCCTGACTGAGGATATGGCCTTAGATAGGAACCTTTGGAGAACTAGGATTAGAGTAGCTGGATAGGAGCTCGGTGCTGTAGAGGTTGTTTGTAGTGTGTTGTGTTTGTTTGGAATCTTTTGCTATTGCTTGTACTTGGTGCTTTACCCGTACTATACTGTGTTCCCTTCCATAATTTTGTGCAGGTTGAGCCGGGGGTCTCTTGGAAACAGCCTCCCTACTTCCGAGTAGGGGCAAGGTCTGCGTANATTTAGGACTTCTCACCCTGACTGAGGATATGGCCTTAGATAGGAACCTTTGGAGAACTAGGATTAGAGTAGCTGGATAGGAGCTCGGTGCTGTAGAGGTTGTTTGTAGTGTGTTGTGTTTGTTTGGAATCTTTTGCTATTGCTTGTACTTGGTGCTTTACCCGTACTATACTGTGTTCCCTTCCATAATTTTGTGCAGGTTGAGCCGGGGGTCTCTTGGAAACAGCCTCCCTACTTCCGAGTAGGGGCAAGGTCTGCGTAGTGGGATTCAACTGGGTTGTTGTTGTTGTTTCAATATCCAATGAGGAATTTGTGATGAAATGTCTAAAATCTCCTAGAGATATGGTGTGAACATTCTCAACATGAATGGGTGACAAATCATTTGAAGGACTTATTTGACATTTCAAACTCATTTCTTGAAAATGAGATTCTTTTAAAGCAAACAACTAAATCCGGATAGAGGGAGTGTAAAAAAATCATTTCTTCGGAGCCAATGGCTTAAGGTAGCAGTAGCAAGAGTGCCAAGTAGTTTAGTGTAATTGGAAGCTAACCTTATTATAAATTGTATTAAAGGATCTTGCTGTTTCTAGAAAGGTTTCTAAATGGGTACGCAACATTGCTTCAACCTCTGCATATTCCTCATCCGGGTTATATGGATGCTGTACACCAAAGATTAACCAAGAATGAATTTCAGTGAGCTGATGAACTATGACTCGAGGAAAGTAATATGAATGCCGAATGCCAATAGAAGCACAATTGTGATTGAAATAAATGTCATGCTCAAAAACGCATAACCTTTGATGCTAAATCATCAACCATCTCTTGAACACTAAGAAGTCTGCTAGATTGATCTGAGAGTTGCTTCTCTAAATCAGCAATGTCAGGCCTGCAAGTTAACTCAGATTAAAGTAAATCAATAGTTGTAAACACTAGTGAAGATTACTATTTTGTCATTACTTGTTTCTCAATGCCACCAATGACCAAAGTCACCAAACTCATGCTACATTGCCCACTAAGGGTATCACAGGATTAACCATATCGAGCTAGAAACATAAAAGGGTTTCTTTATGACTCTACCCTCTAATAGTTTTTCTACTCCCAAGGGTCCACTAGGCAGGAGGGTTTTGGAGTGGTTTGGAGGGGAAGACTACAGTGTTTATCTAGTTTTTTATAAGAGGTTTTTAAGAAAAATGCAAGACTAACATAATGTGTTATCGTATAACATTATCTTTTCCTCCCCTCCATTTGTACCAAACAGGCTCTAGCTTCTAAGAGTTGAGTTGGGAAGTTGCTTCACACACACACACACCTTAATGCAATTAGTACATAAGAAACAGTGTTAGAGCACAAGTAAGTACCCACGACCAAGTTCACGTGAAGGGATGATCTTGATAACAAAAAATAATGATTCTTACAATGGATATATGGATTGGATCTGAACATCAGCAGGAAACAACTTGCACTCTTCAGAGAAGATCTGAACTTGTTTCTCAGCTATGGCATCAATTAACTGAATGTCCTTATTTACTTGCTCATCAACACTGCAAGAGAAGAACATCAAAAAATAATTCAATACTTAATCGTACACTAATATATTGGAATCACTTGAGCTCTTGTTCTTGAATGATGGAATGGGTGTTGGGACTTTGAGGTTCTTCGTAACGACTTTATCTAATTGTCTGTAATAATGCAATTCCTAACTCACTCTTTATCGGACAAACTCGTTGGGGATTTCCAATAGCTCAATGAGCTAACCCAATCCCCCCCTAAAATTATGTATAAACTCCTACCTTTGGGTTGAGATATGGATTCCGCTACCAAAATTTTAAAAGGTCTAATCCAATATCAAGTTTGAGTATGTTCTAACCTCCAATTAGGATTATCAGCATATAAACTAGCCTCCACAAGATCAACAATAAGACGTAGCATTTCAGTACGATCTTCATAACTTCCTCGTCCCTGCAACGAGATGATCAGAAAGGAAAGAAAAAAAAATCTGAACAGAAATTGGGAAAGAAACTTACAATAACTCTACTGACAACTAAATGCATAAACTAATAAATAAACTAACCGATATTCACTTAACCGCTCATCTTAGTGTGCTGATGAATTTCATAAGGATCATTTTCTTGGCAATTAGGTGCAATGAATGAACCTAGTGAAGGAGTCCTTTTAATTGGGGGAGAGGCTCTGAATCCTAGAACATTTTACCATTACAGATTCCCAGAAGCACCCCTCCCCAACTTAAAAACAAAAACTCAAGAGAAATGCAGCAAGTAGGCTATAACATAATGCAGCTCAGCTAACCCTTTCTCTCCAAACTACTTAGGTTCATAAGGTAATTGGAAAAAAAATGCAAAAATGTTAGAAATTCTACAGAAAAAGGAGAAAATCGAACTCACCTGAATGGTATCTATGTCCACAGTCGTAGTTATACCCAGAAACTTTGCAATCTCTGCCAGATCTGAAAGAGCACAAACTCAGTGTTTTGGTAAAGCTTTTCACAACAGCTAAATCCAAACACACCCATCATTATATGGAAAGGAAAAATACATTGAATGCGAGAGGTTTCCTCGTCCCCTTGTAAATTCTGCTGTGAAAATGGAGATTTATCTCCTAACAACCTGCAGCAAAGCAAAGGTCGCGTCTTTATCATGGCACCCTGACGAGATAAGGTTATAGAGGAGGAAAAACGTACTTGAAGAAGAGCCATTCAAGAAGGGCGTAGCGCTCCATGCCGGCAAAAAGGAGTGCCTGGGAAGGGGCATTGGCTCTTGGGTAGTTGAGCGTCGCCAATTTCTTCCTTATTTCTTCCATTTGCTTGGCTGCCATTCCAATAGATATTGAATCGATTCAAGGCCAGAAATCACCTCTTGATTGCTCTCTCAGATATGCCGGATGATCAAAGGCTCAAACAAGAGTGCCTGGGTTTACCAGATCAGAAACACTGTAGTTTAGAAGCCAATTTGAAATATTTTATGGGAAATGAGAAAGTTATACAATTTTTATGGTGAGGAAGTGCTATGAAAGAAAAGTGAAAAATATTTTGGGACCGTAAAAAAAGAATATTGGACAATTATTGTTGGACGAAGAGAATATCACATTCACAGATACATAATTGTGTCAGATGTCTACGAATATCAGTAAGAAAGTGTGGTTAAAACTGAAGTCTAAATTGACATACATTTAGTGCCTCTGGTGGTAAGTTTTGAAAAGTATGATAAGATATGAGTTTTGAAATCTTAGAGAAATGATATGATTTTGAAATTCGAAATGAAATTGTTTGGACCTATTTAAACTCATAAGTTAATTAGTTATAGTGAGAGTGACGGGTGACGACTTAACGAGGATGACTGGCAGTGACAATAATGGCCGATCGTGTAGAATGGTCAACAGGTTGAGAATGATTCAAAACCTCATATTGATATCTCTCACATTCGGAAGATATCGAACCCCTCCATTGAGAGAGTTCACCAAACACCGAAAAAAGATTATGATATCTAGAAATATCAAGAGTCATACTTTTTCTATTCACCAAATACACCTTTAACATTTTTCATTTGAGCCACACGGGCCGTCTAAAATAATTTGCCGTGTTTGGATGGAAGAAATTAGAGGAAAGAGAGGTGAATCAAAGGAGAAATACTTCCTCCTTTATTTTTATTGAGCGTGTTTGAAAGTAACATTATTTGAAGATATTATCTTATTTTCTCTGAGTTGGAGCAAGTGGAGAAAAAAGATACTAACTCCTCATGAATAACTACTTTTAAATTAAAAATATATTCTATTCCTTCATTTTTCATTCAATTCAAACAAAAATATTCACCTTTCTTTATTATTTCATTCTTGTTCAAAATTTTCAATCCAAATACCATACCATCACTCTCATCCTCTCTTCTACAATACTTTCTCTTCTCTCCCTTAAGTGAATTTGGTCCTCCTATCCAAACATTGCATTAGGTTGCAATCCACGTGTAGCGTAGACTTCGTCCATCCCAGATAAACTTTACACAATTTTTAAGATGTTCTACAAAAAAGTTGTATTCTTATAAGGAAATGCATATATATGAGTCAGAACATCAATTTCTCTTTATTTTAGTTGTACGTCAGTCAAATGAACTCATTTTTACACGTTATTTTGATAATTAACCAAAACAAACTACTTATGAAATGTACGTATACACATTTGAGAACTACATAATATTCATTATAACTATATGTACAAAATATAAACTTGTGAGTATCATGATACTCATTTGCACTACAAGAAAATGTGTGCCACAAAGTCATAATCATTGCAGATCTGCCAAGAGACAGTAATAGAAATAAGGTATTTTAAGACTTGGAAAATATCCGTCACAGATGTTATTAACCATTTAACCCCTCGGAGATCTACTACAAAAAAAAGAAAATAGAAACGAACGCCGCACCAAATGGAGGGATGGATATCAGCAACTTAGAGTTCATCGATGATGTCCTAACTTAAATTTACACATTTTTTATACTCCTTCTGTCCTTCTAAGATATTCTCGTTTTAATTTTCTGTGGTTGTAAGGAGGATTGAATAAGGATGAAATTTTACCAAAATACTCTTAGGGTCCGTTTGGTACACAAAATTGATGGAATTGGAATTAAATTGGAATTACAATTCCATGAGATTCAATTCCATAGAATTGAATTTACTAATTCCAATTCATTTTTTGCACTACCAATTCCAAATCCACATAATTTTTGTGTTACCCAACGCTAGAATTGGAATTGAAGTTCTCAATTCCGTAGTTTGAATTCCGTGTACCAAACGGAGCATTAATGAAAATGAGCAGAGTGTATTAAATGAGATGGTGAAGTGTAATAAATAAAGTATAGGAGGTTGTAGTATTTTAAATGTTAAAAGAGATCATGAGAAAAACTAGAAAACAAATAGATTGAGGAATCTATGGAAAACGGAAGCTTATTTTTTTGGGCAATGCATATAAACCTCATTCTCTTGTCCTTGCCGACTCATGTTTATGTCTGACTTAAATATCTTCCCTCGTTCAGACCTTGTCCGCTATGATTACCATCCCCTCACTCTCCTATAACTTTTGCATTGCCCTTCTTAGAATTTAAGAAAAATGTAAACAAGTTAAAAGATGTGATTAAGAGTTTTTAATAAATTTCCCATATTAAATATTTGTTTTTTTAGATGAACAAAAAGTAAGAATAAAAAATTTTACGCGATAAAGAGTACTTTAGTGGGTCTGTTCTTATATGTGTGGTTCTATTTCTATTAATTAAAAGACAGTAAATCTAGATTCTAGAATCAAAATCAATTTAAAATTTACCGTGAGATTGTCTGAAATTTAAATTTGATTTGGAATTAGAATCAGAATCAGCGATCCTAAAAACTGAAACCAAAATTGTGACAAAAAATGGTTCATATCTCCTGTTTCTTTTTTTTAATCATTTGATTCACATCAATTTCTTTTAATAAATTTCAATCATACAATTTTATCACACTTAAACTCGTGTGAAAAAATATACCCTATAAAAAAAAATTAAATAGGGACAAAGGAAATGCTTTTTTAGTTGAATTGCTTGAAGGGAAGAGAAAACAGAAGGTATCAAGAACAACCTCTAGGGCTCTACCCCTTTAAACCCTTGAATCAAAGCATTATTTTATTCTCGTGACAAAAATTTAGGGACAACTTTATATGGAGTTTGGTATAATAAAAATAATAAATCATAAAGCTTGGACATCTTCTATGAAAGATGGGGTTAATATGATCCAATGTCCTGAAAAGTTTGATTAATGGTGTCCAAAATTCCTTAATAATATTAGTGAAAATCATGATGAAAACATGAGCCATATTTTAAAATAAATTTCAAACAAGTTACACAATTTATCAAAAAAATCAAATTATACACAAAGATCAATATCATGAGAGAGTAGTTGCATTTGGTGGCATGCTGTTTGGGGGATTGCCAAGAAAGGGTGAACCATTTTCAGGGGAACAACTATTATCCTCACTAAGCATCCCATCCCCACCAGGTGATCTTACTCTTCCGTGAGAGACTCCGTACCTTAAAAACAGGAAGGGAAGTGAAAAATATCTCGCCGCTTGTTGTTGCCTTGGTGAATCCTCAGTTGAACCGCCAGAACAAGAATTGCCATCGAGCGAAGATGCTTCCTCTCCTCCTTTAGAGCTGTTTTCTGTATAAGGAATCATGTTTTCACTAGCTGAATCTTCGAGACAGAAGCATAGTTCACGGCGCGAGCCTTCTTTTAACTTGAGTAGTGTGGTCTCTGCAGCATCAGAAGTTCACCAGTGCCAACAAAGTTATGTTTTTTAAAAATCACAAGGGGGAAGTTTTTTAATCAAGCCAAAACCAAGATAAGGCCAGGAACATAAGTGTGGACGATTGGATGACCAAAGATGCTTCAAACCGCTAAAAGAAAAAGATTCACACGTGACTCAAAATATCTGAGATGAAAACCCGGATAGGAGTGTTAGGACACAACTTTTTTAGTTTATATCAAAGGAAATCTATCATCTCAATGATCATATTAGGGCACTCTTTAGCATTAACATTTGTGATATGCCATTAAAACATGCTTGTGGCCTCTTCTAGCTCCAAACCATGAAACTTCTTGTCTTGCAAAAATCATGTTTTGACTACTCCCTCCATCCCTAAATTATTATCCTCTTTACTATCTGAGGCTTCCAATAACTTTGTTTGCATGTGTTTTCACTGAACATTTCATAAAATAAAATAGACATGTCACAACTTGTTTTGTAGAGCGTTTGATATAGCTTTTAAATATGCAAGTTATGCTTTTAATGTTTATGCCAATTTGTAAATAAAATGAATTTAAAAGAAATGAGATTTTGCAAGTTGTTGGAAAGAGGATGATTTAGGAACAAAGGGAGTAAAATCGCAACCAAGGTACGTTTTAAACAAAAATAATTTCCATACGCACATGTGCAACAAGTATGACTTCTTCAGTCTTAAGCTTTTGCAGGTTTCAAGATCATAGACTAGCTAAGAGCACACTTAGAGCATGTTCAATTTGGAATTTGTACCAAAAACAATATTCAAGCAATATCAAAATCTTTGGTTTACTAGACAAATGGTTCATAGATACTGTATAAGTTCATCATTGCCTCAACCAAGTTGTTATTTACCTATACTTCTTGCAGCATCTATTCACCATACACCTCATGGTAAGTCTCACAATAAGGCACTTATCGACCATGGTAAGTCTCACAATTCAGAAAACCATCAACAATAGCCCCTAAGCCCCAGGAAGACATTAATTTCATATGGTGAATGCTCCAAGCATATCCAAAGAAAATGTGAAATGCATATTCTTTAATTTGTAAATGAACATATGTCATATGTACGATAAACACTATACATCCGGACGAATAATATAAGAACCCTAAAACTCATGTTTTCTATTGAACACAAGCCAGATCTACCGCAAACTGGTAACAAATTAAATTTAAAAATCGCAATTAATATCAAGTATCAATCAGATTTGGCATTTATTTATCTTCCTGCGATCAATTGGATACTTTCTACCTCCTTAAACACAATAATTCTTCTTAGGCTCAACTACTTACTGCACCAAATACCATTTGATTGAAATTTCTAGGGCGAAATTAAAAGAAATGAAATGAAATTGGGGGAAAATAGAATGGATACCGTAAACTGAGAGAGAATCGGTCTTGATGAGCTTGGGAGGTTGCCTCTCCATCTCCAATTGCTCCAACGAGCTAATCGATGGTCTTCTTACTCTTCCCAGCATACCTCTCGATCTCTCTCAATTTCTCTGTGATCTTTGTTGGGAGATTAATGCAGGCTTTGGAGCGAAGCTTTCTAAGTAGATAAGTCGAACGATTTAAAATTGGGAATGCATTTTCAGATTTGATTTTAAATTTTGGTGGCGGCAAAAGACCAGTGAACGAGCGGGAAACATATATCCGGTCTGCATTCAGACCAAAAATAGGCCTTTGAAACCAATGATTTTGAACCTAGGTCGACCGGGCGGGGAGGACCGGTCCCAGATCAATCCGTATTTTTTCAGGTTTTTGGGAGTTTGGACCGGACCGGACAGGTTTTTGATTGTAAAATTTTAAAGAACAGTATGTATAAGACTCTTTATTATTAATTTTAAAATACTACGTATTTCACTTTCAGAAAAATGAAAAAACATTTCACCTTCAAAGATATTAAATTGCTTTTTGGCATTTTTATGTTTTATTTAATGTAATAATTTTTTAAATAAAAAAGTTATAGAATTTTTAGAGCATGTACATTAATATTTAAAGTATACTTTTTATTTAAAAAATAAACTCCGTATATCTTATAATGAAAATATATTCATTTAAAATAAATAAAATTATAGTTATAGAATGTCAAAAGTTAAGAATGTATATGAGCCCGGTTAGGCAAGGGGAAGGAGACCGAGCCTGCCCGTACCCAACGCACCCGGTCAAACCGGCAAGAACCTACTAAATCCCGGATTTCGCGCCGGGAGGAAGAAGCCGAAAGCCGTCATCTCCGCCACAGAAATGGTGGACACCATGTGCAGGACTAAAAAAGGAGGTGAAAGTAAAGGATGAGAAAGTTGCCGGCTTTAGAAGAGCTTAAAGTATGGCTTCATCCTTGTGAAATCGTCACAGGCAAGTTCTTCCGTGAACCTAAAATTCATGCTCATATTATGGATCTTAGGCCCCGTTTGGTACACGGAATTCAAATCATGGAATTGGAATTGAGGACTTCAATTCCAATTCTGGTGTTTGGTAGTACAAAACTTATGTGGATTTGGAATTGATAGTGCAAAAAATGAATTGGAATTGGAAGAATTCAATTCTATGGAATTGAATCCAATGGAATTTCAATTCCAATTCAATTCCAATTCCATCAATTTCATATACCAAACGGACCCTTAGTGCATTTATATCATAAAGAAAGTGGCATTTTGCAAGAGAGAAAATATCTACGTCCAAGTCCATGAAAAATGTGAATATCAAGACTTTAAATGTGGGACCTAAGGACAAGCATCACTCATCATCTTGTGAATCCGTGATTCATTATTAGTCCACCTATAAATGCATTGCATTTATTCTTAATTATCATCTCAAATATGAATCCATGCACTTAAATTTATTTATTCTGCGCCAGAAGAATTTGAATGCCACCAAGTGTGTAGATGTACTTATGTTTTGTTTAAAGGCTTCCACAACATCGACATTTTTTATTCCAATGAATTCGTTAAGTACAATTGCTGATTTAGATTTAAATGTCTTGGAACTTAATGGCGTGTGGATACCAAATTTAGTAGCAATTCAGCCGGGTGACTCATTGGTTCGGGCTATGGAGATTGAAGTGTTGTGATAAATCCCAAGGTGCTTGACACTCCAAAGGGACACATAACTTCAACCAACAATCCAAAAATTGACATGATTGTTGCGGGAAAAGAATTATACGTCAATTTTAAAATCAGCCCATTTTACAAATTTCTAAAGAATTCAAGGTCCGTTTGGCACGTAGAATTGGAATTGAATTGGGAGCTGAAATTTCATGGAATTGATTTAAATGGAATTGAGTTCTCCAATCCCAATTCATTTTTGGCATTATCAATTTCAAATCCACATATTTTTGTGCTACCAAACCGTAGATTTGGAATTGTTGTCACCAATTCCAAATCCATAGTTTAAATGAATTCCATATACCAAACAGAGCCAATTCCCTAATTCCAATTCCATAGTTTAAATGAAATTATGTTCTTGCTAGGAAAAAAACCATTGCATCTGCAAGCATTTACACTCGTTGGCAAGCTTATTTTAAAAAAAAAACCATTAATGTTCTACACTAAAAAATCAGTGCAGGTGAAAACTGTTGATTAGATCAACATTGGCATGTCCTGAAGCTGCTTGTTTCCACAGCTCTCCATAACCGCTGCATACATGAAGATTTGCAAGCTTAAAACCTTATTAGATCAAAAGGTGAAACATAGAAGCCGTAAAATGATCGACACTCATACCCTATAAGCCGTAACTAACAGGAGCAGTTCAAGATATAGATGCGCTTCTTGGTGCTGATCGGTACGTGTTGTGAATCCAGTCCAGAACAGGGGTGCAATCTTCACGGCCGACGAAATGCCTAGCCATGCATTATAAATGATTTCACTTTTTTGTTGTGTCCAGACAAAAAGAGAGAGCAAGTACTCCAATCAACTTACTTTTGAAAGGAAATGACAATTTTAAAAGAAATCACCCGAACAGGAGTAAAACATAGTAGCATTTATCCTCAAAATAAGAGTTTCGTGCTTTTATCCTCAAAACAGGAGGTTACGTTGTGACATTATGGCACTGTATAGTGGCACCCTGTTGTATTTTTGGTACTATATATTGGCATTATTGGCATTGTAACTCCTATTTTGGAGATAAAAAACATGGAACTCCTATTTTGGTACTTTCTCCATGCTTTGCTTCTAGTTTATTCCTTTTCCCCAATTTTAACCTATTTTTCAGAGATTAGTTTCTTTAATTTAGTAAAAAGTACAATTTTTATATGGTTCAATCATTTTCTTTGCAATTTCAGTCAATTCAACCAAACAAGCGAATGTGTGTTCCAGGCATACCTGTTTTTAGGACGATAGGCCTTCATTTTTGCAACTTCATGCCGGCCTGACATTTCTTTCTCTATAGAAAGATGATGGGGAACCTTCAGATGCCCAAAGTCACTGTGAAACGCATCATAAATGAAGCTAAGCACACTTTCCTGTAACAAGGTCAGTGCACATTAGATCTCCCCAAGGATAACCAGTCATCCGTTCAAAAAATTCTTCCCGGTTTGACTTGGCAGTTGCCACGCTTATTTAAAAAATTAAATTGTGTAGTAGTGGTTTGTGGAAATAAGAGAACATTATCAACCACACAAATCCTTCTTTCAAAGCAAACAAGAAAAATTTAAAGTGTGAAAAGACGAAGAAAAATTTAGAATAAAAAAAGTAATATTATTGAAAATCCTTAGCACTGCTTGGTTCATGGAATTTGAAAGGGAAAAGAAATAAAAATGAGATGGAATACAAATTTTCTTGTTTGGTTAGAGAGGAAAAGAAAAGTAGAAGGAAAAAAAATGGGAAGGCAAAACTTAGAGAGAGAAAACAAAATTCCTCCCATTTTGGTTAGGAAAATGATAGAAAACAATTTTGTTTTTTCCTTTCTAATTCTTTGAACCACACGTAGTGTAAAGGAAAAAGAGAGAGTATCCCCTGTACCATTGGTTTTGACGCATCAATCCAGTGATAAAGTGGTTCGTTACGGAACCATGTGAGTTGCCTTTTGGCAAAATTTCTGCAATCGAAAAAAACGAAAGGCCAAAAGCGTTGGCCTGAAGGTATACAAGCTGAATAAACAAGGATAATGTTATTAAAGAAGAAAGATTACCTGGATGCTTTCTGGAATTCAGAAAGAAAGGCAAAAAAATCACCCGGAGAACTAGAACCCTGCTGTTCTCTGCAGTACAAGAGATATTCCATAGCCTGAAATACATTGAACAAAACAAAGTTAAATTCCAGGCAAAGCAACACTTCTTTATCCTTAGAATCGAGGAATATACTAAATAGCAACACGAGTCAAGGACTGGACACTATTCCAACATGGAAGAGGAGGAATATACATGTCGGTAGCCAATAGCTCGAGTTGCAGAATTTGAATTTGGAAGAAGGCCTAAATCAAGAAGCCACCTAGCCTCGGAGAGAATTCCATCTTCTACTATAGTGGGAATGAACAAGAAAAAACACTAGGACTTGTCAGGCCAAGCAGGGAAATGCAAATAGGCATTAACATAAAGCATGTGAACCCAAATACTAGTACTAGGGAGTGACCCATTACCAACGAGAGATGTAAATATCATACATTCGTACTCCATGTCCCTAAATTATCCATTCAAACATGTCTTTCAAGGATAGCAATATGTGGTTCACATTATTTCTCTTTCTTCTAAATAAATCATTCTCTTTAATTTCATACTGAAACAAAGGGACCAATAATAAAGGGACAAAAGGAGTAACCATATTTGGATTACCTAAGAGCATATCTTCACATCGAAAATCAATTGATCTGTAGAGATCTAGCCTTTGGGTGGTAAGAAATAGGCAAAGGAAATCATAGTCCAAGTCCTTTGCTTTAATCTGTTGAAGTCCATCGGCAGAACAGCTATAGTCAGACGCATCTGCTGCTACTGATTCAAACTGCTCTTTGAAAGACGTATATGGTACTTCAAAAGCGGATGGAGATAACCCACTAGACTGCAAGTTAAAAAACATATAAATAAAAAATTCAATTGACTATGAGTCTGAGAATATGCACATACACCACGTTAAAACTGACAGAAGTCTTGGCAGTCACATTAATGATGGAATTTGATGTATGAAAAATAACAAAACCAAATATACTCCCAACTACATTGACGCAGATTGATGTATGGGGTATCATTATAAAAACACTAAAGTTGTTTCCCTTATGGAATTTGATGTATGAGAATGGAAAAATATACGATGTAATCCGTACATCTAATGTATGTAACTATGTATACAATATACGAAGGAGCAAAACAGAGAGAAGAAAGTTGAAGTTACTTTGATAATTTCAAGTCTGCGACGTAAGCGATACCAGTCATTTGCAGCTAAAGACTTAACCCCTGGATCTCCGGCTTTAACCACCAACTCAACAGCAGCATCCCAGTTCTCATCTCTCTGTAAATTCCCGATCTCTGTATGGACTTCAGATACTATCTCTCTAGAGGCTATTGGAACATTTGGTTTCCCGTAAACAAACCTTCAATATTAGAACGGGCAGTCATCACATAAGTTGGTATTGGTTGAAGTTTGGATCCATTTCTCTATTCAAAGCAGCATAAACTCTAAATTCTCATATTCAATATACTTCAATAGGACTACAGAAGTACTTAAGAGATCATAAGGCAACAACAACAGAACCCAGTATAATCCCAACTCTGTTGTGGTCTGAGGGTTGAGGTGTATGCAGTTTGCAGCCTAAGCCTGGATAAAACCAGAGGCTGTTTCTGTTAGATCTTGATGCATTACTACATCTTTTCTACCAAAACTTCACAAGTAAGAATCAAATGATGTTTAATGTGATGTTTTGATTTAGTCCATTATATATCCAAAACTAAACAACTGATAATAAGGATTATTTTAGCTTCATTGACAATGGACGCATTAAGAGATAATATGGCACCTCATAAAGTCATACTCCCTTCCACCCAAAAATTGACCTTTACGCTAACTATTCAATGTGTTAAACCATAACTTCTTTCCTTGCATATTTTCATTGATCATTTGTTAAAAACAGCATAGTCAATCAACTACTTGCTTTGTAGAACTTTTGATAGTTTCTAAACATATTGATTTTACACAAATATTGAAATACAGAGTAAATTTAATTGAATATAGCTTGAGCCAAACATCGTAAACCAATATGAGTTTTTTGGGACAGGTGAAGTAATGATAAATAAATAAATAAATAAATACTCTTGAAAGTGTTTTAGGCCATATGACATAATCATTGCAGCTACACCCTCAATTCTTTATTAACTGTCGGTTTTGCTTTCCATGTCAAACATTTGACCAACATTCTCTCTTAAAGTATATTTGCAAATAGTATTTAAAAAATAGTATTTTCGACACAAAAATATTATAATATAAATTTATATTTTAATTCATGGTACTCCATTTTTATTTTGTGGGTCAAAACAAATGGATAGTCAAAAAAGAATGGTGAGTGTAGTATTTTGGATAAAGAAATTTATACTAGTAACAGCAGTACCTTCGTGCCACTAATTTTGGAACATGAGGGAGTGACCAAAAATGTGAATATTAAGATTGTGTGGTTGATATTAATGTTAAAAAATAAGATAAAGTAAGAATGAATATGAACCACACAAATATGACCAAATATCATATGAGACAAAAATAGTGGGACGGACAAAAAGGTTAAAAGGGAAAAAAATAGTGAGACAGATGTAGTATAATAATCTCAATGCGTGAATTAGACATCCCCATCCAATGACTAATTTCAAGCATGGGTAATTTCTTTTGTAGGCACAAATGAAGAACTGGCTCACACTCAATATTTTTATAAATACTCCAATAAAATTCAAGATAGTACCTCGGAAAAGATAGAAAATAATAGTAATATACTCCGTAGATAAAGCATTTCAAATTTGAGAAAACACAAAAACATACCACCGTAAATACAATCCTGTACCCCCTGAAACAATCGGAACACGGCCCTTGTCAAGGATATTTTTTGTAGCTTGCCTTGCATCCTCAAAGAATTTTCCAACAGAATAATCTAGTTGTACAAGTGAAAGCGAGAAAAGAAAAGGTGACATTATTAGAAGAGAAAAGTTTAGTGTTAAAACAACACANACTCCAATAAAATTCAAGATAGTACCTCGGAAAAGATAGAAAATAATAGTAATATACTCCGTAGATAAAGCATTTCAAATTTGAGAAAACACAAAAACATACCACCGTAAATACAATCCTGTACCCCCTGAAACAATCGGAACACGGCCCTTGTCAAGGATATTTTTTGTAGCTTGCCTTGCATCCTCAAAGAATTTTCCAACAGAATAATCTAGTTGTACAAGTGAAAGCGAGAAAAGAAAAGGTGACATTATTAGAAGAGAAAAGTTTAGTGTTAAAACAACACAGATCACCATCATCCCAATCACAACAACCTAGTATAATCTAAACATGGTTGGAGTCTAGGGCAGTCAAGACGTACGCAGTCTTACCCTTGTAAAAACATGGCTGTTCTTGTCAGACTCTAGATGCATTGTTGCATTTACGGTCCAAGACTTCAGAAAAAGTAAGAAGCAAAGGAAGTTTAATGTTTCATTTTGATTTAGTCCATTATGTGTTCGAAACTAAAGTCCATAACGACTCTTTTAGCTCTATTGGCAATGGAGGTTTCTTCAAAACATTTTGATGTAGTCCATTATGTGCCCAATCACAGTTTCTTCAAAGTGTTTCATAAAAAGATCATATGAAGATCTATGCGGTTCATACAAAGGAATGTCACACCAACATTATACTAATGAGGATACTTTAATAGGATCCAAATAGCAATACCTTCAGATGGATGCAAAATGTCAACCAGATGGTGTGGCACCTCCTGAAAAGATAGTAAAAGTAACACTAGCATTGTAACCAAATGTGAATATATTAATAAAAGTTTTTTTATCCATGATCTCTTTGAATTCAAACATTACTTGATTATCTGATACTGAATATACACACACTGATTTTAATTGTATACATCATTTGTCAATGAAACTGCTATTTTACATTTAAATTGAAGTAATGAAATAGGTCATTAAGTTGTGCATAACCTTTTGTTTTTGTCTCAATCAAAAGAATTAAAATTAAATGTGTTATGGTCCTTGGCGTAACTTTGAGTGAGGCTTCTTGATAAACCTAAGGGCATGTTTGGTTGGGTGGGAGGGGAGGGGAGGGAAGAGAAGGGAAAATGAATCCATCCCTTCATTTGGTTTAAAAATTATGGAGGAGAGGGAACCTGATTTTTTGGCTCTCATTCCTTCCCCTCCCCTCCGTTTCATTCCCTCCAAATCGGAAGGATTACAGTGGTCGTCTCTCACTCTTCTACCCCTCTCTCTCTCTCTCATTTGCATCACTCTCTTTCGCCTATTTTGTGCTGCTGCGTCTCCATCTCTAGGTAAAAATTTCATCTTCATTGCTGATTCCCTCCCAGTTTACCTCTTCTCCCCATTCTATTTCACCAGGTGAGGAAAATTATTTTCATTTTCATCTAGGTCTGTTCAATCATATAGGCACTGCAATAACATCGAATCTTCTTCTCCTAATATCTCTTGAAATAAAATAATGATAAATAGATTTGGGATGCTCATTGTTGAATCGAAAGGGATTCCACTCAAATAATGATATTACACCTACCTCATTGTGTTCAAAAGCTAGAACTCTGCTTCGGGGTTTGAAAAGCTTAAAATAATTTAGATGTTTTCCTTCCCCTTCTCCAACCAAACAATGTAAGTGTAGCCCCACCCCATCCCTTCCCCTCCCCTTCCCTCCCATCAAACCAAATAGACCCTAAATGGTGAGGATCAACAGGGAGAGAGGCAGAAGGTTTTGTGCGACCTATGACTACTCACGAGCTGGTGGCAGGGAATGCAGTCCCACCTCCAATAGCTTGCCAATTACTCAGGAATAAATAGTCTTTAGTGATGGCAGATAACTCGATATTTAATAGTCTCTTACATAATCAAAACTTGGCTAGGACAAGTAAATCAAATACTTACCAAAGCATTAATTAGTTAAGCATTATTAAATGATATAATAATTTAGGAAACATGAATTCTCTTGTCAAATATGCGAATCTGCCTTGTGCCTTCACTGATACGTGCTGCCTCGAAGGCGTCTATATCAACATGCTACAAAGAAGCATACCATGTCAATGTATTGGGAGACTCTTCTCTCTATAATTCCATTATGGTCCGTCCCATGTTTATTTATAATATGTGCATTAAATTTTTCATTTCTAAGTTTATAAGTCTCGAATTTAAATTTTAATTTCCAGATTTCCAAGATATAAGTAATTCATTAATTAACTTTACACTTTACAGAAGGGTAAAAGTGAGAATTGCATATGATATTAATCATTCCAGCTAACTTGACAACTGCTACTACATATTAATCCTTGTGCAATTAGACACAAGCTTATCTTTGTGGGAGTATTTAAAGTCAACATATCACCGCCTATAACAGCATGGAAAATTTTCCGAGGACCATTTCACAGCATACAAATATAAGTGTCAAGAAGCCAAGAGAAATACAAACACTTTGCAGTGCCCTAAAGTAACTGATTCAAAGCATTTCAGGGATGTTGTAGGAACCATTCGATAAGCAAAAAATATACAATATATTTCTTGCACTCGGCAAACATACTGTGCAAGTACCTTTCTTTCCCTGAGGGATGGCTTTGCCGAACCAATATTTAGCCCTCTGTACACCTGGCAATGGTAAAAACAAGATTTCACCACTAATACTACAAATGTATGCACTACAAAAGTAAACCAACACTACACAATTCTCATATTTACAATAAAAATTTATTGAATTAATTTCCCTTGGTTTAATTCTATCAATTAGAGAAATCGAATTTAGGAGCCAAAAAGGAGTGACAAATTTACAAACTTGTACTGAGTCCGCACTAATGATTTCTCCATTGAGTTGCTTTGCAAGATCGATTGCAAGCTTGCTTTTCCCAGCACCAGTGGGTCCAGATATCACAATTACCTTCTCCTTCTTTGTTGTCGTTTTGGTGGAGGTGGAGCAAGAGGTAGCGAATAATCTGTGGCCACCCCCATAGGAGCAGAAGTCATAGGGGCAGATAAAAGGTGTTTCAACTCTGTACAATAGGCGAAAGCAGCTCATCCGGATACTTTCTCTTAGCATTTGATACAGGTATACTAGTAGAGCATTGACGTTCTATTTGTTAGGAGTAAATAATGTATTTAGAACTTCTCAACTCAACATGCCAGCATGCTAATAACTATCGTAGTGATATGACCAAGCACAAACATGAGACATTAAGGTTAAGATGTCAAAATTTCAAACATGAGTGCACACACAAATTTTAGATGTTAAACGCGTTGAAACTGGAGTTACCAGAAACAAAATACACTCTGGTTTGTCATACACAAAAGAGATAGTGGTACATTACTTCTATTTTTCATTACTATGCTTCATGCGGGCTACTCTGTATGTACATACTACTCTGTATGTACTGCACATCAAATTAGCACACCAGTATAACTCATAGAAGTGCAGTAGCATGCATATTGATACTCAGTATAACTCATATAAGTCCAAATCTCCAATAAACTAGGTACAAAAGAACCCACACAAGTAAATCCAAAATCAAGAATAGTACTTCGTAGGTTATAATACTGTTAAGTACTTGAAATTAGTATTTAAAAATGAAAATCAACTCAAAATTAAAACCTCAACCGCGGTGATGATCAATCAGAAATCAAAACAAATGCCAAATATGGAAGAATTTAATAATTTAATACCTGCAAGAGTAAGGGGCACTGACGATGATGGGGACGATGATGGGGGATGGGGCGGCACTGGCGTGGCGAAGATTGAAGAAGCCTAACCTGGTCAGAGATGATTTCCTTGAGCGAAGACTCGAAGCCTGTAAACTTTGAAACCTAGGGAGCAAGAAGGAGAAGGGAGATGTGTTTGGTTAAAGAAAATATTTTTTGAAAACAATATTATCTGGGAAAATAATTTTTGAGAAAAAAAATTCTTCTTTCATTATTTGGTAGGAAGGAGATTATTAAAAAAATTATGACAAAGTAATTATGAAGATTTTAAATTTGATAAAGGTTTTAAAGATACTTTTAAACGATTTTAGGAGCATAAAAGCGAGCAACGTAAAGTTAAAGTAATAGTGTAGGCGCGGGGTAGATGAATGAAGGGGGCGGATATAGCGGGTTGGCGAGGAGAGTGTATATGGTACATCCGAATGTACCTAGAGATAGGTACGGCCGGGAAGTACTCATTCTGAAGTAAAGTAGTACTCATTCTCGTATCAACATAAGCATTCATTTTGAAAAACCATGTTACTCATTCTGAAAAAACGTAGTACTCATTTTCACACATTCATAGAATATTAATTTACGAATAACCTAATACATATTCTAAAACCTAGTAGTACTCATTCGCACTTAGACTAGTACTCATTCTTCAACTAAGCCCTAACCGCGAATCCCCTACAGGCTACAGAATCATCACCTACCCATCATCATCACCTGCAAACCCCATCATCATCACCAATCTTCCTTCTTCTTCTTCATCATCACCGCATCATCTCAGCTTCAATTCTGCAGAATCATCGACAAAACCCCATCATCATCACTGATCTTCCTTCTTCATCATCGATCATCATCATCTATCAGCACATCATCCCAGATCCGCGCAAACTTCCGATCGGCCAGCCTCCTTCATCGCGGATTTCTTGCACTTCTTTTTGCCCTATTAAACGCCGGCTGTACCTATCTCTAGGTACAGCCGGATGTATAATATAATTTGCGCAAAAAAGTGGATTCTAATCATTCTATATCCCTTTCTTATTTTTCTTCTCCGAACACTATTCCAACTTCAGTAGAATTTTTATTTATTTGTATTTTTTAATGACCTATATGATAAAATAAAATATTCTTATCAATACTTGTTTTATTAAACTTTTGATTAGTTTTTTAAATATGCAACTTTTATTTTTATTTCTATACCAATATTTAAATAAAATAAATTTAAAAAATTTGGGGTTTTCTTCGTTTTGCGCAGTAAGAAGAAAGATATGGGACGAAGGGAGTAATATTTTTTTAGAATTATAAAATTTGAGGGTATTCAATTTTAATTTTCAAAAGTTCTTTAAAATCTTAGGCTTTATATATAGAATTCAAACTATGGAATTGGAATTAAAGATAAAAAATTTAATTTTACTTTTTGGTAGCACATAAATATGTAGATTTGGAATTAGTAGTGCTAAGACATGAATTGGAATTGAAAATTTGAATTCTATGGACTTTTAATTTCCAATTTCGTGTAACAGACCCTTAAAGGCCTTGATGTATTTAATAGGGATTTTAAAAATCTAGAAGGATTCAATAGTAATTTCAAAAGACTGGAAATTTTGAGGTATTCAATGATCTATGGATTTTAATACTCTGTTGATTTTGTTAATTTTTTTCCAAAAATATGCTACACAAATCTCTTCTTACAACACGAGATTTGTATGCACTTCATTTGTTTTTCGTCCCTCACCTCTGTGTGAGATCTCCGGTCTCTCAGCAAAATTCAAACATCTTCATTTTGATCTTTAACGCCTTCTCTATTTTCTCCCTCATCTTAAGTTAGTAGTCACATCCGTGCCACAATGCAGTTTTTTTGTTTTCGTTTGACAATATTGTTAGAATGCATCCCACATCGAAAGTCCAAGAGCAAAATAATCGGTATATAAGCTCTTGAGTTAAACTAACTAATTGATTGGATTCAATCTTTTAATGTGGTTCAACTCAAGTGTCTTATTGCCCAATCCTAAATTCTATCATGGTATCGGAGCAGGTTTTGGCCCACCTCGTTTGTCAAGGTGTCCGTCTAGACGTTCATTCCTAGCGGCCCGTTTGTCTTTAGCGCAGTTGTCCGTATGGAGTATGTACTCAACGGCTTGTGGCCCGTTTAACACGATTGCTCGTCTGGAAGTCCATACCCAGCGGCTCATGGTCCTTTAGGTGTTGACGCTCAAAAAAAAATAATCAAGGGAATGGGAGTTCATTTGCAAGTGGTCAACCGGTATGGCCCGGTTGTCCACTTGAGGGGGAGTGTTAGAGTGCATCCCACATCGGAAGTCCAAGAGCAAAATAATCGGTATATAAGCTCTTGAGTTAAACTAACTAATTGAATGGATTCAATCTTTTAATGTGGTTTAACTCAAGTGTCTTATTGCCCAATCCTAAATTCTATCAAATATTTTTGCCAATTATTTTTTGTCATCGTTCTTAGCCATCAAATACAAATACAAATACAAATCTTATTTTTGATTCGTTTCATATTTGTATTCGAAAGAACTAATCAAATACAAATTCAAATATTACGATATTCGTTTCGATTCGATTCGTTTACAACCCTAGCCTTGACGCCTCATCATCCTCCTCTACTCGCCAACTCGCGTTATCCGCCCCCTTCATTCATTTACCCCGCACGGCCGCACCTACACTATTACTTTACGTCGCTCGCTTTAATGCTGCTAAAATCGTTTAAAAATATCTTTAAAACCTTTATCAAATTTAAAATCTTCATAATTACTTTGTCATAAATTTTTTTAATAATCTCCTTCCTACCAAATAATGAAAGGAGAAAATATTTATTTTCTCAAAAATTATTTTTCCAGATTCCAGTCTTCGCTCAAGGAAATCATCTCTGAGCAGGTTAGGCTTCTCCAATCTTCACCATGCCTGTTCCGCCCCATCATCGTCAGTGCCCCTTACTCTTCCAGGTATTAAATTATTAAATTCTTCCATATTTGGCATTTGTTTTGATTTCTCGTTGATCATCACCGCGGTTGAGGTTTTAATTTTGGGTTGATTTTCATTTTTAAATACTAATTTCAAGTACTTAACAGTATTATAACCTACAAAGTACTATTCTTGATTTTGGATTTACTTGTGTGGGTTCTTTTGTACCTAGTTTATTGGAGATTTGGACTTATATGAGTTATACTGAGTATCAATATGCATGCTACTACACTTCTATGAGTTATACTGGTGTGCTAATTTGATGTGCAGTACATACAGAGTAGTGTGTGTATGTATGCATGTATGTATGCATGTATGCATGCATGCATGCATGCATGTATCAGGGCCGGTCCTGAGCCAGACTGGGCCGAAACAGAAAAAAGGCCCTGAAAGTCTTATCCTTAATAGTCTAAAAAATTCACATATGTAAACTAATTATATTTAAATTATAATTAACGCAATATTATTACAAGAAAAAAATAAATGGCAAAATTGTAGTATTATACTAAGTAAAATCAAGAACAAAAACTGAAAAAAGCAAGCAAATAAATATATCATAAATTAATATCAATTCGTCAATTTTCCTCTTTTTAATTGTTTTTTCTTTTTCAGTTTTAAATTTTTTATAAATCATAAATTCATATCATTTTATCAGTTTTTTTTCGGTTTTCAGTTTTTTTTAATATAAATATATAATTATCATAAATAACAAATTCAAATCAATACATCCAAATCAAATAAATAACATATAAAACCATTCATTCATTCTATTTCAAAGAATGAAATTAGAAAAGATTTCAAATTAAAAACTAATAATTCACCTAGATTTTAAATCTAAAAAAGGAAACAATGAAAGAAAATTAAGATTTAAGAAATAAAAATTACAAAATTGGAAAGGGAAGGCTATGAATAATTACCTGGAGGGTGGAGGCGTGCAGGTCGGAGACTCGGCGTCGGCGTCCGGCGGTGGAGGCGGCGACTCGGCTCGGCGTCCGGTCCTTTCTTGACGTTTCTGGTGTCTTCGATCGGCACTTCTTTTCTTCCGTTTCTTTTTTTGGTCTACAGAATCTGTACACATGGAATGGGCTAAGTAAAGGATGGGTCATGGGTGGACTGGGCCTGGGCTTATAACACACACACACACATATATATATAATACTTTTTTAAAAAAAGTTGTGCCCCTAACATATTTGGGTCCGGCCCGGACGGACACCTTGTTCTCCTATTAGGCTGGCCCTGGTATGTATGTATGTATATTCATACTTCTCTCTCTTCAATTAAGCTTTTTCTTTTCTCTCGTACTCTTTTTCAAACTTGTCGCTGAGTTTGAAGCTCTAAATCCAAAATTGAAATGATCACTCCTCTCTCAATTATTAGTCTTCATGGTAGAATCTAAAATCAAAAGCAATAAGCTTCATAGATAAGTTTTATCGGTTAGTCTCAAGAAATTGCAAAGAAAATAAACATTAAAACTCATCCATGAAGGTTATTATTTTTCGATTTTGGGTTCCACCAATTCGACAAACAATTGAGAGAAGAGTAATGATTTCGATTTTGGGTTCAAAGCTTCAAACTCAGCGATGGGTTTGGGAAAAGAGTGCGAGGGGAGAGAGGAAGTTTAATTGAGGAAAGAAAGAAGTGTGAATTTACAATTTTATCCACCTTTTTAACGAAACCGTTAACAAAAGACCATTCATGAAAATGAATCTAATAATTGAGGACTAAATTAGTAATATTTAATATGTAGGGACTAAATATGTAAAACAACCTATGGGGATCTTTTATAGAATTTACTCTTAATAATATAGAAAAAATGTATTTATACCAATGAGTACAAAGTCTACAAGTACGAAAGATTCTTTTTGAAGTCCATGAAATTTATTACTTCCATCCCAAAATATTTGCAGTTTTTATTTTTTTGTTATCAAAATTAATAAATTTTTAATATTAATTAAATATAGAATGAAATTTATATTAAATATTTATTAAAAAAATAATTTTATTATATTTATCTTGTAAACTAGTTTCCAAATAATTTTTGAATATTTCTAAACATTTGTAGAATTTATAATAGCTTTTTAAATTTTTAATTGAATACATTTATATTTTATAGATATAAAAATGTTTAAATAAACCAAAACTTTAAAAAACTGCACTTCTATTAACAATACCCCCACCACGGCCGCGTACATTACAAGAAATTCATAGACTTTTATTTATGCATTCAAAGTTAATAAGTTTTATTAAAAATAATTTATGTTGATTTATACAAGTAAGCCACAGATTCGAAGTGAGCTTTGTTGACAACCTACAATGTGAGGGCTTGAAGACAACTCTTTATATTCAGTAATGAGTGTGACCATTTGTCAACATATATGAAATTTAAATGTTTAAACATTTTATTTTCTTTATCTAATGCATCATCCAATTCCATTCACCTCTGAAGCTAAAGATTCACTATTTTTTGGTTTTGAGATATGATGAAAATAATTAAAGTAAATTAGTTCTCTAAAGTTCTGCCCTTCTTGCAATTGTGAAGTAGTAGTTGGTCAATGCACAACTTTCGACACTCAGTATGGGTAATTTTGACCCCCCTTACACCGCAATGGGCGGGAGCCGTTGAGGCACTGGGGCAATGTTGTTGTTATCTAATGCATCATCCACAATGATATGAACTCATCCATTCATATTATAAAAAAGGATGAGCATCATTTCTAATGAGTTCCTCATACCTGGACAAACGATAATTGAGAAAAGGTAAATTTGACTTGCATTCTAGATTGGTAGTAAAATGTAGAGTCTGCATTTGGTATTTGCAGAAGTCATATGTTTAACATAGTTGTCTTCTAGTACATTGCCAGAAATCGAACTCGAATCTTACCACTTTGACACTCTTTATCTTTACCAACCGTGTAATGCCTACGGGCTCATCCATTCATTTTATAGGGTAGTGGTTTAATAGTAATGGAGGTGTTCTTAGAGTGCCTCCATTAGTGTTATCTATTCATTGCTTCCTCCCTCTTAAAATTTTTCTGTTTATTATTTACCGTTCAGATTTTTATCACGTTTATTTATTTATTTATTCATTTAATTAAAAAATGTAATTATGTTCTGTTTTATTTTATAAAACTTAATGTATAAATTTTATTTTTTATTGTCATAGTTTTAGGAGTGGAGAGTGTATTTGCCATGTGAATGGATGGATGGAGGTGAGTTGGTATATGGTACATCCGGATGTACCTAGAAATAGGTACATCCCGGTAGTACTCATTCTGAAATAAAGTAGTACTGATTCTCGTACAAATATAAACATTCATTTCGAAATACGTAGTACTCATTCTGGCAAAGGTAGTACTCATTTTAAAATAAAGAAGTACTCATTTTTACACATTTGTCTAATATAATTATAATAAATAGCGTAGTGTTCATTCTTAAAAAAACAATACTCATTCTCAAATAAGGAAATATTCATTCTGAAATAAAGTATTGTTCAATTTTTTCACAATTAAAAAGTTAAGTATCATCATCAACTTCTTCTTCTATTCGATTCGTTCCTACTCATTTTTACTCTCTAAACATGAAGAATTTAAAACTCAGGTTTATTCATGTTTGTATTGAATAAAAATATGATAATTCTCATAAATGCTAGTATTCCTTCTCAAATCTGCTGGTACTCATTGTCATATATAATAGTTCTCATATATATGTTCTGGGCATTGGATAAAAAGTTTGCAAAATTTACAAAAATATCAGGTTGTACCTAAAGGAAAGTACAGCCGGATGTACCATATAATTTGCCGGTTGGCGAGTGGAGGAAGATAATGGAGCCATTGGAGCATCAAGGTAGGATTGTAAACGAATCGAATCGAAGGGAATATCGTAATATTTGAATTTGTATTTGATTAATTTTTTTCGAATACAAATATGAAACGAATCAAAAACAAGATTTGTATTTGTATTTGATTAATATTCGAATAGTTGATTCCAAACGAATATCTGAATAATCATACTCCGTAATTTATATGTTGATTTTGAATAATTTAACTTCCAACATTTCTTATACCATATCTAAGAACATTTATACATCCGTCTCTTACACAAATTATATTTTATAAAATATAACTATTAAAATTTACATGCTTTAAATTTTTGTATTACGTTAATACAAAGAAATCTTTCCAGGTGAATAGCACTCAGTAATGGTTTAAATGAACTGTGCATTTTGCATTTTATATCCTTAACAATAGGGAGTACTTTTTTTCTTAGACTAACTAAATTTTCAGTTTTTTTTCTTCAACTCGTTAAGAACACTCAAGTCTCCTCCCTTTTGTTTCTTTTTTCATCTAAAAAGGGAGAACAGGATTCTGGACCTTTGGGCAGCAGTTTTAATCACTCCTATTTTTGAATTGTATGATTATTAAATTTAGTTAGAAATATTTTGATTGATTACATCTTGTGTTCATATGATTCGCTCTTGTATTTGTCTTAATCTTCTTGTTTCGCTCTGCGATTTGTTTCTCTTTATGATTTGTTTTGTCATCTTACTGTTTCTCTTTATAATCTGTTTTGTCATCATCTTGTTTCATAAATATCAAATAGTGTTGTTCTTTGTGACATACTCTTGACTATTGTAAAATATATCAATATCATCATGGTTGGTCGACAACAAAACATTAAAAGAAAAAGAGGGTATGAGCAATATAATGGACAAACCAAGAGAGTGATGTACTATTTTAGAGCTCATGGTAGATGTTGCCGCTCGAGCTGAGGATGGCATGATAATAGTGGCATTCTTCCTAAGCAAACTATGGAACTAAGGATACTTCATGTTCTTAATAGAAAATTTGGGTGTCACAAGATTTATCTCAATTAACAAAGTCGATTGAAATGGTTTAAAAATAAATAGAGATTTTATTCCGAACTCATGCGTTTTAGCTCTGGTTTTGGGTATGATTCCACTACAAAAAGGTTCACTGCAACTAATGCAATATGGGATGATTATTTTAAGGTAACCTTCTTTAGTACTATATGAAAAATTATTCTAATAAATGAATCTCTTGAAAGATGTAATGAAATAATAAATTTATAATTTTTTTATAGGCTCACCCAAAGGATCACACCGAATTACGTCATGGAACATTTCAGATTTACGAGAACTTGGAAATTGCAATTGGAAACGGTGTAGCTCTTGGGAAAAAATCAATCGGGTTGGGTAGTACTACCGATGCAAGAACATTAGGTGTTGGAGAAAACAGAGATGTGCACATACAAGACCTTGATTATGATTTGGAAAATCATGCATTCATAAACCGATCTCAAATTGATCCACCTATTCACTTATCACCGCTCCAATCTCCTGGAACTCATGAGGTTCCCATGCAAACAGCAACCCAAGCTAAAAGAAATAGAAGTGCTTATGAAGAAAATGACATTCTGGAAAGGCTAAATGAAATATCCACGAGCTTTCAAAGAATCTATAATCTGTTAGAGTTGGAGAAAAGAGAAAGAGAGAGAGAATATACAATATGGGATGCCATCAAGGATACACCAAACTTAGATGAAGATACCCAAATTAAGGCGGTAGAGTTGCTTGACACCAAAGGAAAAAAGGACGTGTTCTTGAAGATGTCACTAAAAGAATGGTTAAATTTGATACGCCATAAAATGAGAGAATAAAATGAGAAAATATATTACGATGAATGAAAGAATTATATTTATGTGACTTTATTTTGAATGTGTTATGTAATTTTATTTTCGTTGAGAGTTTAGAATACTTGTGGTTTATTAATTTGTTTGAAAATATGTTTGGTTTAAATTATTTTAACTATATGTTGGTGTTGAGCTTAATAATAATAATAATAATGTTTTAAAAATAATTATTTTTTATTTTATTATATTATTTTTAGAGTTTTTGGTCAATTTCATAAGTAATAATTAATGTTAGGACTGTGTATAGATTTTTAAAATAATTCAAATTTATATATAAATAATCCAGTGATAATAAGCAGTCTATCACAATCTTATAAAATCATGCTTACAAAATACATTAAAATTTATCTAACTCTGCATCGATTTTAAATAATCCATTGACCTTACAGAATGCATGGATTCAAAATAATATGTCAGAATCTTTAAAAATCTGGACTGTATACACCCCCTTAAAATTTAAATGCAATTCGTACTATACTAGTTTGCTTAATACTGATGTTAAAAACATGGTCTGTGTATATAAATATATTCAAATATTTAAAAATATCATCCAAATCGAATACACATCTATTTGTATTTGTATTTTTTTAATATTTAAATCAAAATTAATATTTGAATTTGTATTTGAAAAACACAAATTCAAATCATCATTTTCGAATACGAATCACGAATCGAAGGGTGGGAGTGGTTGGGCAAGTGAGGTCTAAGTGCAACCACTCCTATCACCACTACCCCCGAGTCCATATCAATGTCTTCCCCCTCATAAGGCTCCGTTCCGTTCAACTTATTTTTTCTGATCTAATCTGATTTTTTGCAATTCTGATCTGATCTGATTAGATCTGATCTGACCTGGTCTGATCTGATTGGATCTGATCTGGTTTGATCTGATTAATTATGATTTGATTTAAAATTCAAATCAATAATTTGATTTGACTTTATAATAATGTTTGAAAATTGTAATGATAATTCATATTATAATATAATCAATATTTTTTATTTTATAATTTTTCTAATGAAATAAAATTATTTAATTCATATATTAGAATAATCATTCATATTATAATGTAATAATATTTTTTATTTTATGATTACTTTTTTATGAAATAAAAATATTGATATAATATTTTAATAATTAGTTCATATACTCCGGAGTATATATTAGAATAAATATTTAATTCATATATACATTAAAAAGTAATTCAATTTAGATAATCAATATAGAGAAGAGATCGTATTTTATTAAAATATCTCATTCTTATAAAATATAAATGTGTGCTTTGTACTACAAAACTTTTTTTATGATTAATATAACGCCATAGATATAATAGTTATTTCAGTTACACTAAAATATACTGCGTATATGAATATCAAATGTTAATTTTATTGAAGTCATGATCAAAGTTGATCAACTCGATGTAGTAAAAGATCAAAATTTTAGAAACTTAAACTACAGGTAGCAATAAAAATGTATTTTAAAAGTAGAATTAGATTGACATTGTCAATGTATTTCAAAATAATTTTTCCGACGTCTAATAATTAAGGATTACTTTCTTAGTTTTCTATTTAACTTGTTTCTAAAGTTTAATCTTTTCATTTTTAAGAATAATAATAATAATAATAATTCCTAATTGGATCTGATCTGATCTGGTCTGATTTGAATGGATCTGATCTGATACGATCTGATGTGATCTGATCTGATCTGATTCGATCTGATCTGATCTGGTATGATCTGATTTTAATAAGAATAAGAAAAAATAAGAAAAAATAATAGAAATCATCCTAAATAGGACTAAAACATAGAGAAAAGTACCAAAATAAGACTTTCATGTTTTTTTCTCGGAATAGGACTTTGCACTGTGGTAATGTGACTTTGCATTGTGGTAATGTGGCAGTGTACATGTGCAAATTATTATACTTTTTTGGTAATGTATATGACCATGTTTGGTAATGTAAGTTCTATTTCGGGAATAAAAACATAAAAATCCTATTTTGATATATTTTCAATGTTTTAGTCATACTTTGGTCTTTGTCCCAAAAAATAAGTTGAACGGAAAGGAGCCTAAGTTTGGTTCATTCTCATTCTTTATTTAAAGTAGTATTTCACCCATACGGGAAGATGTAAATTCTACAGTTTGAGATTAACATATACAAAAATAAAAAATTATTTTAAGATTTAAAATAAAAATATCAAAAAATATATTTTATAGTATAAAGGATATATGATATATATAGTATGACTTACAATATAATATGGTGACTATTTATTTCTTACCATTTTATATGTGTTTTTATTAAAGATCGTTGATTTATTACCATATACAAATATATACTAAAATATACGGTAATAACATACAAAATTTTGACCATAATGCATCGTATAATAATTTATTTCCACAATAAAATACAATTGAAGTGAAGTAAAATATAGATGGAAATGATATAATCATATAAATATTATAATCATAATTATTATTCTTATTATTGTATAATAATTATTATTAGCATTCTTACCCTATAATAATGCACCGCATAACAAATATTAAAAGGGAAATTAGTGCATCACCCTGCACGTAAGAAAAAAGTTGTCCTAATTGTGAAAAACATTCAATATTTAAATTAATTAGTGTATACTCGCATTAGTTTATAAATAACAGATATGTAAGCACTTCCATTTAAAAATATCATTATTTAATAATTTTAAATAATTACACAAAGGATAAAAGAGTAAATTTTAGAGCGTACTATATTCAAAAGAGAAATACGGAAATAAAATTTTAATAGTCTTATAATACTCAAAATAGCAGTGCTATTAGTTTTTGGGATGAATTCCCATTTTTGTCCTTAAATAAACACCCAAAATTGAATTAGGTTAAGAAAAAAATTAATTGGCAGCCAAACACAGCAGCCGAACGCAATCTTTTCGAAGCTTCAACAACGGAAGGAGAGATAATAAAAAATCATTACCGAACGCCAAAGCCAAAAAAATCATTACGTTGATAAAAAACACTACCAACCTTAAAAAAACACACTGTAGAGAACCTAAGGTAAACACATACGTTTTTGCAGTGAACCTTAAAAAAAACACTGCCAACCTAAGTGAAACAAAAAAAACTTTATCTAATACCACCAAAATTTCATTGCAGTGAGGTGATTTGAATCGCATATAACTACAAAAAGTTACTAGTAATCAATTCACAACAAAAACTTCTTTGGCCGATTAAGTTACTATGATGCCAAAACTACTACTCAATCGAAATTTTATTTTCCCTTATGGAGTGGGTTATTTTTCACGAGGCAATTCAATTGGAAACTTTGTATGAGTAAATTTTTTTGGAAGCGAATTCACTGCTAAAACGAAGCATACTTGTATCTTCTCCAAACTTTTGCTTAGAGGAATCTCGTCCAGCGCATCATTGCTTGCCATTGAAACCCTGCGTTTCCTTCCCAAAGCTGTTGCGTTCGGCCGTGTGACTTTATAGGAATCGTCCGAGGACCAAACGCAATATTGCCGAAGCTTCAACAACGTAATGATCGCGGGCGAACGGAAGGAGAGATCGTGGAGTTCAACAACGTGCGGGTGAACGGAAGGAGAGATTGGAGTTGAATGCCGTAATTTTTAATGAAAAAAAAGAAAAAGGGATAAAGGGTATGATAGGAAAGGATTGACGCCACAAATTTGCTAAGTTTGTTAAAAAGAATGAGTAGTGCTAAATGCGTAATTTAAGGTGAGTTAGAGTGCTATGTAGGGTGATTTCATTGGACTCTCAAGTTTTAGAATCCAAAAAAATATTACTCTCTTCGCCCTATATCTTTCTTCCTTCTTGTTGCGCAAAATGAAGAAAACCTTAATTTTTTTAAATCTATTTTATTTAAATATTGGTATAGAAATAAAAAATAAAATTTACATAAGTTTAATAAAACAAGTCGTGATAAAAATATTTTATTTTATCATATGTGTCATGAAAAAGTACAAATAAATAAAAATTCTAGTCAAATTGGAATAGTATTATGAGAGAATCTCTCGTCTAGTCATCTCTTTCCCATTTCTTTGTTTTCTCCTTACTGCGCATTCCCGCCACCTTCTCCATCTCCGGGACTCCATCTGAAGGTCGTTGGTAGGTTTGGATTTTTCTTTTATCGATTCCAATCTCTCTACACCCTCTCTCTCTCTCTCTTATAATATCTCTCTTTTTTTTCCCTTTCGGGTTGCTTCGTTCCAGTATTTGGAGTCTAAGATTTGGACTCCATTCTTCGATTGGGTGTGAATCGGAATCTTCAGATGACAACTGGATCGTCCAGGAGAAGCATGGCTCCGTTCCAGGGAAAGAAGAAGACAGGGGAGAACGAAGTAGGGCCGGCCGATTCAGTCTCCAGGAAGTCTTTTCCTTTGACTCGCTCCATGTGCGAATTTCTCTCCCTTCGTATTGATTACTGATGTGATGCTAGTATCTGCAGAACTAACTGCTGGGACTATAATTGCATATAACTGAGTTGCACATATTTACTAATTAATAGTCTTTTGATCTTTTTTTTAAACTTTTCTTCGTATATATCCTGTTTTGGTTGTTAAGTTCATGAGATTTGGTTGGTTTAATATAAAGTAGATGATGCTTCAAAATGGAGAATATTGAAAAACATGGAAGTTTCATTGTATTGGACACATCCAAAAGGACTCAAAATAACTCACTTGCGCCTATAACCTAGAAATAAAGGGGCTGTTTGATATGGTTTTCCGAGCTCTCTCTGTTACTCCAAGGAGAACCATTTTGGGGTGTTTTCCTGTTTGGACGACAGACATAATGCTATAGAAGTCTAGAGTCACTTCAGAGAATTAGTCCGTGGTTGTCAAGATCCTAGTATAAAATTCACAATCATGGAACCTGTTGTTGTCTCTGTGATCACCATCTGGACATGGATCTCAAACAAGCGAGATCTGAAGCATATTTTGATTTTTCTGTGTGATCGTAAGATCTATGATCCGATTTCATCTTCTTGGTGCATTTGAGATCCATATCTAGATCTTTGTTGGAGAGGCAATATATCACAAGATCTTGGGATCTGGGGACTTTATTGGGATTTTGATGACAATGCAAAACCTGTATGGAGTAATTAGAATCTAAGTTATAGTTTTGGATACCGAGGGTAACTTTCGGTTGTTTCAGTCAATGACTGTGAGTGGAAAACCACTTATTAACCCAAAAGGTTAGTGTTTTAAAAAACTAGTGATCAGGGACCATTCAAAAACCAAATTTTTCTGTTGATTTTGTCTGTGGGTTTCTTTTTTCTTGGTTTACTTGATTATTTGCTCTCTCATATGGAGAGAAGACAATAAAAATGGTTAAAGTGCTTATATAGTTGTATGTTTTGTTATTGCATTTTCACTCTATTGTTATCCTTGTAAATCAAAGTTCATCGAGACCTTATTCATCTGGGTAGCAAAATGCAGTAGGCATAGTTGGTAAGGGCGCAAGGGTTCAAAGCGCAGGGCACACTTGAGGTGCATGTCTCTCGTGCATGAGGCGGGCACCTCATAATAACAGAGATTAAAATTTTGCCAGTAAATTTAGATTATTTTTCTTGTAAGAAGAGCTACACTCAGAAGGGGCTAGGTGTGCTGGTGCGACTTGAAGAAGGTGACTGGCTGGGCCGACAGAGGTAGAGGAAAGTGGTTGGTTCACTTGGTTGGGCTGAAAGAGGGTCAAGATGACCATTGCACGGTGGAATCGGCCTCATTAGTCACACAAGCTGTATTTCAATTCAGTGATATATGTTTTCAAAGTAAAGAGTTGCATTAAAATGTGAAAGGAGATTATGTTTTTGATGGAAAAGGTTCATTAAAATGTCAAGTATCTATCAGAACCTGAAGACCTGGGATGTATAAGTCTAATTAATTGGATGGTATTTGAAGGAAGTTGGAGTCATTTGAGTATGATGCATTGCACCATGATTCTTCTGGCAATTTTGCGTATTTTAGTTTTTTCTCTCTCTAATTTTTTCAAAAAACTCGAACTGTTTATTGTTTTGCTGTTATAAACTGTTGGATTTGGATTTGCACTTTGCTATTCAAATTGAATAAACTACATCAATTAGATTTGATTTTGTATTTAAATAAGTTTTCTTATGTGTCTGGGAAAAGAGAATGCACATCCTATTACCATTACTATGTATTGCTTCCATGTACTCACTAATCGTTTACGTTATTGCAACAAGAAGTCAAAAGTTTCAATCTTTATCATTCAAATTTCCCTATCAATATCTTTTCAAAATTTGTGTCTCGTACTGCTTCCTTATATGTTTTTTTTCTCTTTATCTTTTTTTGTTTGTATTTTTCATCTTTTATTTAAAATATAACTTTAATTTCTGCCTAAAGTTAAAAATAGTGTTTTGATTTTATTACTTGTTTGAAAAAGTTGCATTTGGATGGCTAGATGCCATCATTTCTTGTTGAGATTTATGAGTGAAAAGAACCATCAATATTTGAACTGTTCAATTCAAACACTGCATCACATCTGACTGTTAGACCTTATAACTAATCTTAATGCTCAACTTGTGAGACTGAAACCTGATAGAATTATATCAATTACTACGCAATAAGTTAATTAAATTTTGTTACTTTTCCGGCTGTAATAAATTATTGTTCTTTTAGTCATTCGTCAAACCAGCTTTTATTTCCTCATTTGTCCCTGTAACATCATAGTAGCTGAGAGAGTATTCAAAGCTTTAACAATGGCTTACAAAACTAGGGTGTCCTTGATGAAGATTGACTAGTAAGTCTAGGATGCACTTGATGAAGATGTGATATGGACATTGTTTTTCTTAGTAAAAACTAGCTGTAAAAAAAAATCAAAAACATGTTCTAGAGTGTCCTTAATTTATATGGAGTACTTCCTTTTACAAGCTTTGTAAACTCCAAAACATAGACTGTAAGTGTAACATAGCCCAAAGAACCTCGATGTTTGTGGTTTACTCCTGGTATTAATATCAGTTGTTTCTAGTTTAATAAGTTAAGTTAATAACTTGTTGCAGAGGACCGACAGGAGAGCGGACAGTGAAGAGATTGCGGCTGTCAAAAGCCCTAACAGTTCCTGAAACAATAAGCGTATATGAAGCATGCCGCCGTATGGCTGCCCGTAGGGTTGATGCTTTATTGCTTATTGACTCAAATGCATTATTATGTGGGATCTTGACTGATAAGGTATGACTTGAATCATTTCCTGTGCAACAGCATTATATCTTCTTTTTAAGTTCGCGACATGAGGAAATTCGTCTTAAAAACTTTGCGATATATTTTTTGCATGAGTTTATACAAATTAAATTTAGATAATTTATTAATTGTCTATATAATCTTAATTCCAATCAAACGACAATTTGTGCTTTATTAATGATTATCGTACAATTGATTTATTTATCTTCTAGTAATTCTTTATCCCTTTGTTAATGTGAATGAAGGATGTAGCAACTAGAGTAATTGCTCACAAGCTTAATGTCAAAGAAACACCCGTTTCTAAGGTTATGACAAGAAACCCAGTATTTGTACTTTCTGACACTCTTTCTGTTGAAGCATTGCAAAAAATGGTGCAAGGTAAGGATTCTTTGACTTTTATATTAAAAGATATTGATTGTTTTTTTTCTTTTGCCAAGACAAAGCATTTTGCTTTTGGGTGCAGGAAAATTTAGACACTTGCCCGTTGTGGAAAATGGTGAGGTCATTGCTCTGCTTGACATAGCAAAGTGTCTATATGATGCTATTTCTCGCTTGGAAAGGGCATCTGAGAAAGGAAAGGCTATTGTAGATGCAGTTGAAGGCGTTGAAAAGCATTGGGGTGCATCTGTGTCTGGTTCGTTATGAACATTGTTCTAAAAGACGGGTTAAGCCCAAAAGTTGGTGTGGGTGACTGGGTGGCTCAGATGGGGCTAGGTGGGGTTTGTTATAATGTTTTAAACAAGTATTTTAGCAAAAAGGACCTATTTCATTTAAACACTTTTTATATACTAGACAATAGTAAGTCAATAATAGACATGTATAACTGTATTGCAGAAATTGTGATTTTTTAATAATGTAATGTTTTTTTTGTTAATGTTAATTTATAACTCATTTCATGCACAATATTTTATTATATGATCACATAGACATATTAATTGAAATGCACTTGTTTATATAATACGGAGTACTTTTCTAAAAGTCAAATATACATTGAAATTATGTTAGATAGTTATCATATTCTATTTTTAAAAACCTCAACAATAATAATAAAAAACACAAATATTTATATATCCTGCCAATTTAAAGCAGCACCTAGATGCCGCCTAGGTGGTCTAGGTGCTAGACGGCCCTCTACTGCTCGCCTGGCACCCATCTCCTTCTATAACACTGGTTATGAATGATAACCTTATTATTAGCCTTTCAGGCCTTTTGTTTTTCATTATATTTATGCTGTTGTTTTTTTCCAACTGTTGCCTCTATTATAATTCTAAGTAATGAATTTTTTTGCATGCTTCCTTAATGCAGGCAATACATTTATCGAAACACTGCGAGAGCGGATGTTTAGACCCTCATTGCGTACAGTTATCCCAGAAAATTCAAAGTAGGTAATATCCTTACTATTTTCCATCAGGTGTGTGCTATGGTTCAGTTAACTATTTGTGATGTCTATATCGCGTGTCTTATCTCATGATGGTTGCTAGGATTGTCACTGTTGAACCAAGTGAGACTGTTGTAGATGCCGCTATCAAAATGCTTGACAGTGGATTAAGCTCTGCTGTTGTAACAGTTGACAGAAAACCACTCGGGATTCTTACGTGAGTTCTTTTCAGGCATACCCCTTGGTGATTCCCTCTATTATTTTTATTCATTACTCCGTTAGTAACAACATGCTTAAATGCCTAACTGATTCCCTAATATTTTTAGTTCAAAAGACATCTTGATGAGAGTCATAGCACCAGATCTTGCTCCTGAGTCCACTGCAGTGGAGAAAGTAACTCTCTTTTGCTCATTACTAATTCAATGCTATCTGTTCTGAATATGAGCTACTGATATTCTTTAATTCTTTATATACTACTTTCTATCAATGTAATTTGTATGATCTTTTTTTCATTAGGCTCCATTCGCGAAGGTGCAAAATGACTTAGGGAAAATAGATTCTGCATAATAACTCATTTTCCAATAGCCATTTTCCGTTTCATGTGTTTAGCTTAGAGAACGAAAATAAATCATTTCTGTATCACATTTTCTGGAAATTACGTCCTACGACAGTACGACCTGTTGGCGGTAGGCAGTCGGCCCAGCCAGGCAGGGATGGCAGCTAATGTCTTCATTCTTACCAACATTGGCCGTAGTCACTAGACAGTCAATGTCTAGCTGACGGCATATGTTTGTGCTACATGTCAAATCTCAGAGGAAGTTTTCCCAGAAAAATTTGGAAGCTTTTTTTTTTAAATGTCCATGTTTTTCTTTGACTAATAATCCTTTTTCCTATTTGACTGATTTTCTATTCAGGTGTTGAATGCAGGAAAATATAATTGCCACTTTTCGCCTTTGCGAACTGGCTCTTATTTTGGTGAAATTGTTCAAACACCACCAACCAAGGATTTCAGCTCATTTATGACCTTGAGTTCTCCTTCCAATGACTGTTTAGTTACTTAGTATTTTAGATTTGTCTCATTGTTCAAAGACGAATGTGTTTCTCTATTCGCATCTGGTTTTGTGCTTGATTATTTGAAACCACGGGCAACTATGCTTCAAATCTCAACCTTTTTATTACATGGATTTTTCCATAAATTCCAGGTCATGACCCCTAATCCAGAATGTGCAAGTGTTGATACATCTATTGTTGATGCTCTACATATAATGCATGATGGCAAGTTTTTACACCTTCCGGTTGTTGATACAGGTAAAAGCTTCTTCAAGGCATGCAACAAGTTTTGATAAATTAGTGTAATTTTCCTTACCTTTTAATTTACAATCGGTTGCAGATGGAGCAGTTGTTTCCGTTGTCGATGTGCTTCATATCACTCATGCAGCTATAACCACTGTATGTCGCTTATCATTATACATATTCATAGTCTACTATGCACCAGCCATGGATTCAATAATATTTGCAATTGCATTAATCATATACAATGCTATAGAAGTCGTGAGGGGCCCAGATGAGCGCAATACTCATTAAATGCTTAGTATCATGTGTCTCATGGACACAGTTTTCAGTTTTGAAAAACCATTAATTTAAGTGACTACCAAATCAATGGCATTAGATAAAATTAAAAGAAAGGCATTTTTTTGTTCCTTTCACCCTCTTCTGCCCTTTTCGGACTTTTTTGCTGCTCTTTTTTGCACTATTGCACAACCTTCAGTACTTGCATGGGGTCTTCATGGAAACTACGTTGCTTTGGAGTAGGGGTACCATACTTCTAAGTGGTAGATACTAGCTATGGTTCGATTTGGTTATTAATTATTTTAGTAATTGAGACAAATAAAAATTTGGACATCCCAAAATAGAAAAAGAGACCACTTCTTTAGGATGGAGTGGGTATTTTTTTAATTAGTTTCTCTATACAAATACCAACAAACTTTACCATTGAAAAAATGGAACAGGATATAATAAGCTTTCCAACTATTATAGAAATAGCAAGTGGGCTGTTCAACATTAACAAAGCTCAAATGGACACTCCACAGAGAAAAATGAAATTCAATCATACTAACGTATGATAGTAGGTAACCATTATGCCACCTGCAGAGCAATGCTACGTCACCACCAAAAACACAAATACTTTCCTAAAGTTGTAGCCATGTCATCATATCCTCCCAATTTTTTCCCTTTTTCATTCTTTTGTACTGTACATGTAGAGTCCAAGGCGAGTTGTTACAGCATCTCTTATTACTACCCAACTGTGGGTCCATAAACAGAATATATGCTGTGGCACCACCTCAACAAGAGTCACCACTCTGCTCTGCCACTCTCCACTCTCGACTTTCTTGCCAAGTATGCACCCTTCACCTCCATTCCTACCAGTACAGCCCCTGCAGAGTATTACTCCGTCGATGAGGTCGTCTACCAAACGAGCTCTAGTAGTCTGCTCGACATGCAGCACAATCTGGAAGCATTGAGGCAATTTGACAGGACTATGTAAAGTATCCTTGTCCTCTTCTGGTAGGTAAGATGACCTGGCCGTGTGGGTCGGGCTTCTAGTCCATGTAAAAATCGGTGTTACTGGAAAGTGGAAATTAACAATGTTGTGATCATCAAAGCCTTTAATGGAAATGCATGTATTTTGAGAGCCTTGAGATTTGGGAAGAAGTATCTAAACATGAATGATTCGTACAACAAAGAATCAAACCTTACTCGAAAACACCTATATATTAGTAAATATTTTAGTTATTTAAACTTGTTTGATTACATAAACGTTTTTGCAGAAAAGAGTCTATCCCTTGACAATTGACAAATGACAATTTATTTGTTTGAGTATATTTCAAATACCAATAAACAATGTGTGTTTGGAACTTTGGAATTGTATTGGGTTTTGGTTTTTAATTTTAATTTGATTCTCACTTTGGATTATTGGGTTATTAGTAGGTCGTGTATGTAATATGATGTGCATCTTATATTCTTATCTCACTACATATGAATGTTTATTAGTATGTCATGTATGTAATATGTAATATGCTGGTTAAATTGATACACAGAATCTAAACAATTCTGTTTAACATGAAGAAAAATGAATCTTGTGTGATAAATTGACAACTTTATCTGTCGTATCATTGATTCTTTTCTCGTTTAAATAGGTAGGAAATACTGCTGATGTGAATAATGAAGCTACCAATTCAATGATGCAAAAATTTTGGGATTCTGCCATGGAACTGGCTCCTGGTGATGATGAAGAGACACGTAGGTTGTTGTCTGCTTTTTCTATTTGCTCCTTTCATCTTCCATTTTTTTTAATTCCTTTCTTTTCCTCATATTTCTGCTATGGTATACCAGTGACAGTTCTCTGAAAATGGCTTCGGAAGGAACAGAGACAGGAAGAGCTCTTCCAGTTCCTTCATCAAACCTGCCAACTACTTTTGCTTTTAAAATTCAAGATAAAAAGGGAGGGATGCACAGATTTACATGCGGTATGTCTTCAAATGATTCTCATGTATCAAGTTCATGAAACATAAAATTGAAATGACGCCATACGCTAAAAATTTGATAAATGATTGGTAACATGATTACCGTAGCATCCTTCCTTAGAGCTATATTTTCCTCATTTGTGATTTGTGATGGCCAAGGTAGTCAAGATCGCATTTTAGCTCATAAAATCACATCAGACTTTACGTGTCATTTGGTCAATTGTGATTCAGATTGCAGAAAGAATCGGATAGCTCCCTAGGTCGTATAGACATTCTTTCGCATAAAAATGCTTGGATCGCACGACTTTTGCAATCCATTTATCCTGATATACCTTTTCCGGTTAGGAAGAAAACTATGCCGATATGGATTTGAGAGGATTATGCAAATTGCCAGAAGTACTTAAAGACGCACCTCTTCCACTTCCAAGGTCAATCAACAATGTTAATACTCTTTCATGTCGGCTTCTACTTCACACTCTCTAGTTTGAACTTTCCTCTCACTCTCTGTCGAGTTCTCTCTCTAGCATTGAAGGAGAATATTTCTTCTCCTTTCCCCCGGGTGTGGGTTCTGTCTTTTCTTTGTCTTCTGTAGCTTAATTGAACTTAGCAGGCATGCGATCTCTACCTCTTCTTTTTTAATGAATTCAATATGCCTATGCTTTGCTATGCACTTCTGCCATTCTTTTTATTATTTGTATTTTAGAAGCTTATATTTTTTACATGGACATTTATGTTTTAGATGTTTGGTAACGTATTTGTTTTAGATATCGAGAATGTAGGATCTTATGACCCGTATTATGATTTTACGGTTAGGACCTCGAGTTTGACTACCTTGGTGATGACAAGATTGAGTTCCATTTTCGAATTCTTTATCTGAGATGAAGTTTTTGTATACTACCCTATCTTTTAGGTGTGCTTATGAATTCTATTTTTCTATTTGATAGAATTAAGGATTGGACTCGAGTCACTCGACTCGGATTTGACAATCAGAGTGAGTCAAAACATGCTCTCGCAACTAGGCCAGACCACTTAGGCCAAAACCTACTAAAAGAACGAGCCAGTGATTCTAGTTCAACCAAATATCTTATTAGCCCATCATTCTTTTTCAAACTTTGTGATGTGGGACTCTGACGCTTTAATTCTTTCACGCATTAGATGTGTTATAAGCTCTTAAGGAATAAATTAGTATGCATACCTCTGATTGTTACATTTTCTGGAGTTCAGAGACTCGAAGCATGATGGATGTCATAACTGCAATCCTTCAGAGAGTTGGGGATGACATTGACAGGAATAAGCTTCCCCAGATTTTTGTATGTTCTAAAAACATTCTCGGTCACTTCTCGCATAGATTTGCTCCCAGCTCCCTCTTGCCCATAAAGATTTAAAATTTTAAAAACACAAAGGACTTCTTTGCATTGTTTACTAAGCCTACTATGGACCTATGGTTACAGTATGAAGATGAAGACCATGACAAAGTTATACTTGCATCAGATAGCGATCTTGCTGCTGCAGTTGAACATGCAAGGTCTGCGGGTTGGAAGGTCTCTCTTTCTTTATCCCTCTTTATATCTTTTTGTTATTGGACTGTAAATGGTGGGGAAAAAAGCAGCCTTAAGCGCGCCATTGTATTTCGACGCTTAACATGCTAATTGCAATGTTAATTAATTACAGGGGCTGAGATTGCACCTAGACTACTCAGAAACCCGGAGTTCTGGTTCTAGTAGTATAGGCTATGGTCTTGCAGATTCATGGACCTCGGCATACAATGCTGTGGCAGCTGGTGCGGCATTAGCTGCCGGATTAGGCCTATTTGCTTTCTTGAGAAGATCTGGCAACTGATTTCTTTTTTAAGAACTTTGCCATATATTGAGTGTGCAGTCAATTGAGTGACCCATGCAATATAATCTGCATACCTGAGGTATTTTCTGTGTATTTGCCTGTAGTATGTAGCAGTGCAGTGGTTTCCACTCCCACCATAGCCACTTCCATATCTGCTTGGTCATTCATAATAATGTTTGCCCTAATCCAACAAGGCAATAAACTCCCATGGTTTGAACTTCTTTTATGTAATGCTTTTTTGAAGGATCTTTTATGTTATGTTAACTCAAACGACTTTGATATAAAAAATCAAATCAATTGGTGATTCGTTTCACACCCCCACACATACACCTATAGACGCACGATCACATACAAATAAATATATATAGTGTGCCACATCTAAACTTTCAACTATTCTAAGGGTCTATTTCGTTAAACTTATTTTTTCAGCTTATTATTTATTTTTATTAAAATTAGATCAGACCATACCATAAATAACTTTAAAAATAATTATAATTAGATCAGATCTTGAAACAATAGGATGAAATTAGGCGAAAGTCACACTTCAGGAAGAACAAATTATCAACCATTGAGTAATGTTGAAGGGGCTTGAAATGTGCATCAATCACAGTTTTTTTTGCTCAAAATGACTCTTCTCCTTTTGTGTATACACGTACTATGGAGTATATTATCTATATGTAATGTGATGGTTTTACGTGTAGATGGAAAAAGATTGGTTTTTAATCTTTGGATAGAAACTATCTCGTCGGGCAACAATTATTCTTAGTTTTCTCGTTAGTCCTGATCCTGGCAAATCACTAAAAGGCTCGTTTTATTTTATGAAAAAAATTCTAGCATGTCGGAAAATATTTCTTTGAGGAAAGCTCACCAACACATTTCGAGCTATCCTTTTTCATAACACTTTTTTATTCTAATTTCCAACCAACAATTTTCAATAAGCTCAAGGAATTATTTTTGGTAGTAAGCGGTACTTCATGAATACAAGGATGTGAGTCATATTTATAACATATTGGATTTTTCATATAAATGTACTACCGTTGAGTTAGAACATGTTTGAGTTATTGAGCAGATGGGACAAACTAATTTGGTGATATTATGTTATGTAAATCAGACAAAGTAAGAAATTCCACACCTCAATCTACCCCATTTTTCATCCGCTATCAAATTTATATGAAAATTTATTGTATTTTTCTGTAATGTAAGGTCAAAGTTTAAAAAATTTGACTCCAAAAGTCAAACAGAAAAGTTCATTTTAGGGCCGAGGGTTGAGTATTTTCCACTTTAAAGAACAAAAATAGACTTTTCATGTATGCACACATTTTAATCCAACCGATGCACGTTCTTGAAGCTCAAAATTCACGTATGATCAACTTGTACCTCTTTGTTTCATCTCATCTGGTTTAAATTTATTCAACTCTACTCTGTTCTAATCTAGTTTAACTCCAATTAAAATTAAAGTTCTTTTTAATTTGATCTTATTCCAATGAGAATAAATAATCCTCCGCACATTATAAAAATTAATTGAAGAAAACGGACTCTTGTTATTAGTCACCGAATCTTACTTCAAATTTCTCTGTATTTCGAGCGTATCACTGCATTTATGTTTTAACAGTTTGATCACATCCTTCCATTTTTGGCCAAAATTAGTTATTTTATCTTTTCAAAAATAGTTTTCTATTGGAACCGAAGGCTCTTTTCATATGTGTATATATGTGTGTGTAATGAAAAGGACTGTTTTAAATATAAAAATCACTTTCAAATTGGAAAAAGGTTGAAAATGAATTGTTTAGAGAGAAAGCTACTTGTAGGTTGAAACTAGCACAACCTTGATAACTTATCTGATGTGTTCTCAATGCCTAACTTTGACTATTGTTGTTTACAGATAAACTAGAGGTGGCTCCAATATAAATCAAGTTTTCAGGAAGAAGAGACCTTTGCATATCCCCATTAAAACCCACATTTGATCACCAACAAAGCGCACATAATGCAAATAGCTATATGAAATACACCGAAAGGGTGTATGTGCGTGTGTGGGCGCGGGGGAGGGAGAAAAAACATCGTGCCCCAAACATATTTTGCGTAAATATCAAATGAAGTCTCTATTTTCCAGTTCCAAGTTCTTTGGAAATGTCTCTGGCAAGGCAGAATTGCATAGTATTATGCCACGGGAATAATGTTCGAGTCACTGGAAGTTTTCTTCGGAGGTCCTGCAATTTTCAGAGTTGGAGAAATCATGCTCAAATGTAGAAATGCATACATTATTATATATAGAAATTCTGAATTACCACAAATTAAATTCACCATTTGTAAAGGTGTTTGCAGTGGCATCTCATGTGACCATTGCACAAAGATTGTGGGAAAAATATATTCCCTTCATCCCAAATTAAACTTTACGAGTTGACTCCACAGAGTTTAAGAGACACGTTCAAAAGTGAAAATGGTGTGAATAGAACTCTTTAAGAGAAAGATTGTGAACCAAATTTGCTATTCCTATATACACTATGTTTAGTTCAAGGAATTAGGAGGAAAGGAAATGAAAAGGGTTTATTCCTTTTTGTAGCTAAAATGGATGGAATTTTGTTCCTCTCACTTTCTTTTCTTTTCTCTTTCAAATTCCTTGAACCAAACATAGTGTAAACAGTGAAAGGAAATGAGTGAAATGTGAAGTTTATTTTGGGACAAGAGAAAGAGGAAAGTGTGAAGTTTATTTCAGGATAGAGGGAGCTTGCAAAGTTCAGGAACTACCTTGAAAGTAGTGTCAGATAAATTCAGATACGATTTCTGCCAGAGAAGGAATACGTCAGAAGATACTCAAAAAGAGAATTAGAGAAAGAAGAAGGCAGGGTTCACACACCTGAAGAGATGTCATATACTCAGTTTCATGCTGTCTAATAATGTGTACCAAGGACAGTGCAGTATCATCTGGGGACTAATAATAGCACAGATTAAGTCAGTTGAATTCGCACAGATTAAGTCAGTTGAATTCAATCAACTAAGGCCAAACCACACACATGATCTATTATATAATCTCATAGATGCATAAGGCAGTCCCTTTATGTTTAATCTTACCATCCTTATTCTTCCTATCAAATTCCTCAAATACATATTCTCCTGTTTACTTTGGCCTTTTTGATCATTATAGCATAAGATGATGAATGCAAGAAGTTTTCTGAAAGATTTTGTCAGTTTTTTTTTCTAACCATGATTTAGTTGGGCCTCCAATTAATTTTTGTATCCTATGCATTAGGTATTCCTATTTTCTCTTACAATCTTAATCTTCCACGCAAACTGGTGAATACCAAAACCCCTTTTTAGTTCGGCATTACAATCAAATTTATGTATGAAGAGGAATGAAAAAGATTTGTGCAAGATCAGTGTCGGGTTCTCTTCTTTTAAATTAGTTTGGCCTTGCCTGGACTTGTGTTGTATCCTTGCAGTCATGGTTTGCATCAAACTGCACATTTCCCTCTTCAAAGTAGTGCGCTCCAACCTTAGGCAAATGATAATGAGAATGTCTTAGAAAGTACCATGCTCTTTTATTTGGATACAGATATACTTGGAAGCATCCATTCATCCATGGCCAATATAGCTAGAAGAGACATTTTGACAATGTACTATTTCAGGTAACAACAACAACAACAACAACCCAGTTGAATCCCACAACAGTAGGGTCTGGGGAGGGTGTGTGTACGCAGACCTTGCCCCTACTCGGAAGTAGGGAGGCTGTTTCCAAGAGACCCCCGGCTCCACCTGCACAAAAATATGGAAGAGAACACAGTATAGCACAGATAAGGCACCAAGTACAAGCAACAAGTACAAACAATAGCAAAAGATTCCCAACAAATACTATTTCAGGTAAAGGAACTAAATTAAAATTGCATACTAAACTTTCCCTCTAACTTCCAATGAAGTTTTGGGTAGTAAATGCATCAAGGGCCTAAGGGACACACCACTCGTAAGGCTTTGTACATTTTGACCCTTGAGCCCCAGACCACGACTGGATTGGTTGTTGTGGGACCAGCCATAAATTTAAATGATGTCAAAAATACAAATATGGCATTTGAACAAAATCAAACTGAGGGAATATAAGCCAGCAGTATATGTTTTAAAACAAAACAATACCTGCATGCTCCCTCTCATTTCCACCATTTGGAGGTCATTTGTAAACTCTACATTCCATATTGATCGCCAGCTACCATTGCTACAACGTAGGAAAAAGGACAGCAGATTCTACTCAGAAATAAGATTATTCGATACTTTGATAAGCTTACTATGTACAAAATATATATGCATTGCTTTTTGGGTGCATTGTGCAGATTCTTTTGCTACTTGCAATAATTTAATCTGCCAAGTGAAATTCAAATGAACATCAATTAATTTGAGACTGCTGCAGAATTGATATTCAAGATACACATCAGAATTGATATTCAAGATACACATCAAGATACACATCAGAATTGATATTCAAGATACACATCAACAGATGACAGGGAACCCTGGGTTGCAAGCTCATTGTGGCTCGCCCAATGGAGAAATTTTGCATAGCTGGATGTGGCTCCTTTTTCTAAAATAGACCATTACTAAACCATCAATCCAGGACTTGGCATTTGTAGAATCAACCAGTAATTATTGCTTTGCAAAATAAATACTGGGTTGTTTGACTCTGGCCTTTAGCGGTTCAGCTCCAACATCCATAATAGTTTCCTCATGTGCATGTGGTAACGACAATAGAGTTGGCGGATATTGGACTGGTGGAGGGAATACGATTTTCAGAGGCCGTGTCGATGTTGCAGGTGTCCATGGAGCAAACATTGGATTTGTTTATACAACATTGTTACGAAGCCATTAGCATACGTAGAAGAAGAAGAAGAAGATATTGATTCTTCCCTGCCCGTGGCTAAGAGGGGAGAGCAGTGCTAGTCAGTAATTATCTTCTCCAAAATAGAGGTTTGACACTTTTGACTTGACCATTGATCATTTTATTAATGAATATACCCCCTCTATTAATACTAGTGGGCAATTCATGATATCATAATGTCTCACTTAAGATTTCAGTCTCATTCAGGAATACCATAACACACAATTCATGATTATTCCTGTCTTATTTAAGATTTCGTTTATGGTATGAGGGAAGCCCTTTATTCTCTAGCTAGGATATTACGATTCAAGTTACGATCCCCAATTTATAATCCTCTTATTCCTCTACTCCACACACATCCTAGCAAGGATCTTGAGACTTGATTTTATTAACTTGGATCCTACCTACATGACCTAATGGCAACTGCGCCTCCTAATATCAAAATGTACCTCTGGTTCAATATTTCACACTCCCTCCATCCCTAAATAAACTTCATGATTATAGACTTTGACCGTGTGAATAGTGAAAATAAATTTACTAAGGGGAGTATTTGATATCCATATTGATCCCAACCATATTGCCTTTACTTCAGCAACACTATCCTCTCTAGACAATTCACTCTCTTCTCATGCTTCATGTTCGAAACCATGATGAGCAATTAGAAGCTAAAATAGCCAAAGACCAGAGACTTTTATACCAATTCTTACTGATTGAGTAGGAATCTAATAACCATGAGAAAATGGGGTTGAGCATAAGAAATCGATGAGAAATGAAAAGATTTGGAAAGAAAAGCATGGTTTCATTCGGTAATGGTATACATCAAAATTGAAAGCAATCAGAGTAAAAAACAATGAAAAAATTAGACAATCTAATTACAATCCTACTTTCTCTGCTCCACCAACTCCATTGTGCCTAGCTGAATAGAACCAACATGTCTCTCCAGTAACAACCATAACAGCAGTTGGACTAAGGTGATAATAACGAATGGGCCATGAATTTGAACTTTGACAAAGCAAAGTAGCCCAATTCATTATGTGAAATTTTTACCTGGTGTTGTCAGCAAAGTCCGACGTGCTAATTCTGCTCAACCTGTTGCCTCTCAGAGAAGTCTGGAGCAATGAACCAGTGCAGCAGTGAATAAAAGGGGAGAAGTAAACAAAAGGAGAGAAAAGCAAAAAAAACAAAAGAAGTAAGAGAAGAAACAAATGGTCGGAGAGAACGGAGAACAAAGAACCAAAACAATTACAAGCAAAAAGAAAAAAAAGGGAGAGCAAAAGCAAGAGAAAAAAGAAAAGGCAACGATAGGAGTCGTTGGAGATCGAGGATAAAAGTTGCAGGGAAGGCCTATATAGAAGTGGTTCTATGACTGTGTAGGGCCTAAAGAATTAGTTAGATATAGTAACACATTGTTTTTTTTCTGTATTTGGTTTTCCTTTATTTGTTGAAATCTATTAACTTATATCTTTTGTACTTGGCTTGGGGGTCTTTCAGAAACAGTCTCTCTACTTTTTATAGTATGGGTAAGGTCTACACACCCCCACTAGCCCACCCCCAGACCCCACTTGTGGGTTTTTTTTTGGGTTGGTTATTGTCATTGGTATATAGAATGGCAAACTTACTAGATAACCTGCAGGAAACATGATAAATTGCCTGATTGGTTTTTTAATTGTGTATATTAGGGTGTTTTTGAATTTTTGAACTGAGAACCAATTGCTAGATTGGAGATAGTAGCAAAAAGGCAGATTTGATAGCTTTCCTTTTTTCTTTGAAGTTATACATTCATAATAACTGAACTTCTTTACAGTAACTGGATCCCACTTGAACCTGGAGTTTGATAGTCATAACATACCAGAAATTTTGAGGGCTGTGTCTAGCAGCTGAAATCACCACAACAAGCTCAAAATTATATCCTTCATCCTCTGCATCCTTTCCTTTCACACAGTATACAGCAAAGATCCCTTTTGGATATGTTTCACCAACATACTTCATTACTTCTGCGTCTAAGGCACATCTACCCACATACATTGTGGCATCAGATAAACTTTGGCATATGAAATTAGAAACTGCTGTATTTGTTAGCAAGAAATGAAGGAGCAATGAGGGATGATAAAACACCACTCATTACTACGACCCTTTGAATGGAAAGGCATAAAAGCAATAAAGACCAAGTGGTAAGAACACTACCGATAATCTTCTACATATGCCGACGGAAGTTCCTCGTCACTTGCTGGCCTAACCTTCTTGCATACCTAAATAAGTTACACTACATAAGTAACAACAATAAAACATTGGGTCAAAATTAAAATAGATCAGTGTTGCATGACTATTAGTGAAAGAGAAAAAGATGAAAGCACAAATTGCATGTTCTAAGCTCAAAAGACCGTGAGTTTGGTAATGAAGTTGTTGGGTGACAATAAATTAGCTTTCACTCCGCAATTCACATCCACCACTATGGCATTAATAATTATAAAGAGGTGGGAGACAAAGAAGAACGCTATAAAAATAAAACATAAGTGCAAGGAAGGAAGTGGCGAGGAACAAGAGTACAACAAATGCAAATGGAGAAAAAGTGCAACTGTCTCAAGAGGGAACTCTCTAAAAGGCCAAAAGGAAACTCTCCAACAAGAATAACTTGACCATAGCTACAAGAGAAACAAATCTACAAGAGCTAATAAAAATTGACAACTCGCTACCTCATTTCACGAGCCAGTGAGGCTATTTATAAGCCTTTGGAACAAAATAGATATTGGAAGGCTAGCAGCTGGCATTAGGTATTATGTATCCTATATGTCAGTGTTCCCCCTCTAGTTGAAAGGTCTTGTGTTTTGTGCTTGGATTAATGCAACCCCGCACTGGAGGCACTAAGGTCTTTTAAAAGGATTGCCAAAGCGTTGTATCTGTGTCCTTATTTTATGTATCTATAGTGATCTTTTTATGTGCAGCTTGAGACGGGGATCTCATTTTTGGGAAAAGGCAAGGTCTACGTACACACACCCTCCTCCGACCCTACTCTCGTGAGACCCAACTGGGTTGTTGTAAATTTAGTCACTAAGTAGTAAATAATGGGCCTAAATTTTAGGAATAATTACTAAGTGATATGTCAATGTAACTATATTTTAGGGATAGGTAGTTATTTGTCTTCTATAAATATCGAGTCTCATTATTTGTAAAAACTATCCAGAATTTATTTCAATGGGAGGGAAACAAATTTCCTTTTGGCAAGGAAAAAATAAAGAAGAGGGAAAAGAAATTTCCTTCCATTTTTGTGAGAGAGAGGAGACACAATTTCCTTTTCCTTTCCTTCCTAATTCCTCAAACCAAACGTAACCTAAGGAAATGTGAAATTATGTGGTTGGAGACTAGAAATTTATGCAGAGAAGATAAATAGCATGAAACACGTGATTTTTCCCTTGAAAAGAAATGAGAACATTATTTAGGGACAATCCAAAAAAGAAAGTGGGAAGATTAAACAAATGAGAGATGGTTTTTATTTTTTCCGAAATTATTTGAGGTATGGGATTCTTGAAAAACACATCATGAAAAAGAGTTTAAAACCCTACTCATTTAAGTTGGAATGCCTTGAGAGAAAGTTACAAAATACAGCATAATGAACTTCAAGGATGACATCAAAATACATTATATTTGAGAGAAGAGTAAAAAGGACTCACTTGCTTGAGATGGTCAATTATTGCAACTTGGGCAGTCCTAGGATCAAGATACTCATTTTTATCAATTTCTCCAAATGATGTAATCAGCACCTGCGCAAATGATTTACAATAGAATTCTACATTAAAGAGCACAGATTTCAAGCTAGAATCGGTTTATGGTAACAGAGGTGCTGACCCAACACCCATGGCTGTCAGCCAAACTTTAAATTTCTTGGGAAAATAAATGAACATACTAACATATTAAAGACAAATGCAGCTGATCCATACTTTTATGAAATTTCAATTGTTGTGTGTTTGTTATACACAATGACGGATTATCCATAGTTTCTTGGAATGAAAAGAAAATGTCTAGATATATTATTTCCTAGTTTAGCATTACTACTATATTAGTATTAGGCACAAGCAAATGACACAGTTTTGCTCATAGTTTCATTCAAATATTGAATCCGGGCACGAAAGGAGTCACATGTTTTCATTTATAATGGAAAATAAAATAGATCTTGTGATAAAATTAAGGCAGACACCCATACGTGATTGAATTAAGCAATAAATTTAACATAACTGAATCCTTCGATTAAAGTGTGCACACAGATCAAAAGAACAAAAACATAAATTTAACCGTTCAAAGAATCTAAAATGGATGTTTTTTTAATAAAAAAACCAACAATGACATATTAAAACAACAATGTTTGAGAAATTGGGGGAAAAACACCAAGGAAAAGAGACAGAAATGAACCAACATCTCCACTTCCGTCAGGCAATTGGATGCAAAGCATGTGCGACTTGTTGTACAAAGGAAAAGCCTCTTCAGCCGCAACCGTATATACATTATCATCGTTCAACACTGCTCGAATATCTGAAACAAAAAAAATGGAAATGAACCCCAAATTTCAAGCGGGGAAATATGGGGCAGAAGACAGCATTACCTTTGGCGACATACTGGATTTCGCCGGCTGGGGAGTTCAGGAGGAACCATTTCGCCATCTCCACCTTCTGCTCATCGCTGAGCTCTGCTTCAGTATCGCACTCGTGAAAATCATTCTTCTGAATCTTCTCCGACATCTTATCACCATGTAACTAACCACCAAATTGTATCTAATTTTTAGTTGAAATTCAGCTCATATCCACCAATTCATCAATTCATTCAAGAGTGTGATTAGGGGTGGACAAGTTCGGAACAAGAAACCAAGTGGGAACCGGGGAGAGCCTGTGGCGTGTGGAAAAACATTTAACTGGCTTTTGACACACTTTGTTTTTGTTTTTTATTAATGGAACAATTGCTATCACTTTTTCACTTGTCTGTTTGATCCGAAAAATAAATGGAGTAGCTCTTGAATTTGGTTGTTAGAAAAATCAGTTCTTTATCATTTTTCTTGAAAATCAATAAAATAATTTGGTTGTTAGAAAAATCAGTTCTTTATCATTTTTCTTGAAAATCAATAAAATATGTAAAAGAATAAATGTTAAAAATTAAAAATTTAACAAACATAATAGATGAAATGAGAAAATCAAAAGTAAAAATCATTAAAAAGTTGAATATTATTGATCTCTTATGAATTATATAAAAATGAAATTTAAACCTCCATATATTAAAGATTAAACTTTTACATGTACAAAAATAAAAAAACAAATATTGTGTGTGTATGCATCTACGTATATATATTATTTTTAAATTTCGAAACAATTTTTTTTCCAAACAGCTAATTTTACCAAACAAGTTAAACGACCAGCCATCACATCTAGTCATTCAATTCAACTAAACTAAAAAATAGTTGTTCAGAATAACTAATACAAACAGTTAACAGCCTACAAGCGACACCCAACATCCAAAAAGGTTTGTGTACAACATGAATTCCAGGTGTACCATGTCAAAAATAAATGTGAGAGTTCACAAAAACATTTCACATTATCATCTCATTTGAAAAAAATTATACTTAAATAATTAAAAATATTTAAAATTAAAATTCACAAAAGACAAATTTGTAAATCTTTGAATTCTTTGTTTGTACCAATAAATCATGTTTGTACATTCTTTATTCTAATTATATTATAATACTCATTTGTAAATAATGTTAGTTTATGTACTCGCGCCTTAGATAGACGAATAATGTCTTTATAGATTTTTGGGGTTTAATGAAATCGGTGTTTGGCAAACGTGTAAGTAATGAAAAAATAAATATTTAATAGCGTAAAAATAAGAACAGGGTAGTTTTATACTCGTTCGGAAACTCTATACTCCAATAGGCTCCTCAAGAATTTCTAAATGCACAGTATTTCTCTGTGCTTATAAGTTGTTTTTTTACAAACTAGATGATGTATTTATATGTGCTTATAAGCTGCTTATAAGGTAGAAAAAATAAGTAGGTTTTACTTACTTACGGCCATGAGTCCCGTGACACATGCGGTGATAGATTCTGAGTTTATGGCAGTGGACAAGAGCAAGTCCCCATCACACCCACGTCTATAGCAAATTAATGGCAAACTTTTCGAGCCTTACTTGCATAATCCAAAGACGGATCATCTGAAAAGTTGTTAGGTTTTCCTTTTACTAAAACATGAATTACTTATGTCGGGGCCACAAATCATATGGCGGGTGATCTTAGCCGTTTGTTCGATACACATAGTATATTGGGTTGTTGGATTCGGTTATCATATGGAAAACGGGTTGCAGCAACAACTGCGAGATGAAATAATATTTTGTTTGTGCCTAAATTAAATTGTGCATTGATTTATATTTCTCAACTCGTAACAAAAACTAACTCTTTGGTTAATTTTGATGGGACATTATGTGTATCACAAAACCGTTCCACGATGCAGGTGATTGGTGCAGGCAGGTAAAGTGAGGGTTTGTACTACTTTCAACAGTCTCAAGTGGGTAGTGCAATGTCGACAATAAAAAATGTGCATTTGACCTTTGACACCGATGTTTGGGTCATCCGTCTCCCAAAGTTTTATCTTTGTTTCCTCTAGCTAATGATAGTAAAGCTAGTGTTTTGAATACAACACCATGTTCTATTTCTTTATGTGCTAAACAATCTTGTGCAAGTTTTCCTTCGAGCACTAATAAAACCACTCAATTGTTTGAGCTCATTCATATTGATGTATGGTGTTCCTACCGGACACCAATTATGCATGGTTTTAAGTCTTTTCTTACTATTGTGGATGATTACTCTCGGGGTACTTAGGTGTATCCATTATGGGTAAATTGTGGGGTTTCTACTATCTCTCATCAATTTTGTGCAATGATTACTCATCAGTTTGATGTAGTTCGATGTAGTTTTTTTGTGACAGTATGACAACTCTTCATATCACTGCAAATCCAGTTTTCCATAAACGTACCAAGCACATAGAAATTGATTGTCACTTTGTTCGTAATGAATTATTGTGTGGTTCTATTTGTGTGTCTCATATCTCTACTCATGATCAATGTGTAGATATTCTCACAAAGGCATTGGGAAAAGGACAATTTGAGGCCTAATTTCCCAAGTTGGGCATTTGTGTTTTACATGCTCCAACATGAGAGGAGTGTTAAGAAAATAATATTTATTATTGGAAATGATATAATATTATTCATGGTCATGCATGATTCATTGATG